GAGAGCTTCTACGGACTTCCCTTCCATTTTGTCCTGGAAAATCCACCAGGTGGCGCTTTCTCCCCTCGGAATTCGTTCGATTGCCGACCCAACTTCAAAACGAAAGGTTTGCGTGGAACCAAACTTGTTCCTGTGCGCGTCGCTGCCCGATAGACTGAGGCGATCAATTGCGATGGGGGGTTGGGATGTGGTGTCGATCAGGATCGCTGACAATTCTCACTCGCTTAGTCAATGTCCTTTGGCCTTTGGGTGTGAGCTCCTGCCAACTCTGTCACGGTGGTTGAGCCCGAAGGTAGCGAGCTTGTGACACGGCTGTTTGTGGGGGACGCTGCCGTGTGCAATTGGCTGCCGCGTTTCGCCCACAAAATACACAGTCACTGCACTTTATGGCATATTCTGTGAAGCGCTTTGAGACGTCTCGATGACGTGATAAGGCGCTGTATCAAATGCAAGGATTATTATTAGTATTATTTGGCCCTAATCTAATCTGCCCGATTTTTATACCCCAGAGAAGTGCATATCCTGGCAGCCTAATCCCATATCCCGGCTTTCCCCCCACCACCCCCCCCCACCCCATATCCCTCAAGGAAAGGTGCTTAGAAAATGTTCAGGGCGGGATGTGTCCAAGGGAATAAAAGGCAAAATACTGCAGATGTTGGGAATCTGAAATAAAAACAGGGAACACTCAGTTCTGGCGGAAGGTCATCACCTGAAACATGAACTCACTTTCCTCTCTCCATAGATGCTGCCTGACCTGCTGTGGGTTCCCAGCCGCTTCTGTGTTCAGTTTGTGTCCAAGGGCAGATGCCCGTGGGATCGTAGGAAAGGGTCGTCCTGTGCTAATAAGAGGGTAACAAGGGTGTAAAGTGCCGCTGTGACGTGAAGTGTAGCCAAACCTCTCTGCTCTCTGGTTCTGGGCACTGCTGTGACCATTACTGATTAGTGAAGCTTTTTACGCTCCCATTCCACTTGGGCTAATTGCACTAACCCAACCCGCGTTTTAGAACCCATTTGGGCAAAAAGTCGGCTAGGCCTTATGTCGGTCATTAATGGGATTTCCTGTTACAATCGCACAAACGCCAAAGATGTAATGAGTCTGAACGGATTTTTTTTACCCAACTAGCGGTTAATGAGTTCTGACAGGGGGTCACACACCCGAGCTAGCGTTCTCTGTCACAGCAGTGCCTGGATATTTCAAGCGCCAGATTTCCAGAATGTCTCTCTTTAATCAACACGAGAGGCACTCGGATTGGAATTTGGCTAATTAAACCGCTGGCAGCTCAGAAAGCCAGCGCAGCCCAAAGGATTTTTTGAAAGAAATCGGGATTCGGGTAGAATTTCCGCTGATAATTTAGTCGCAAATTGACTGGGGCTACTTAACGAGCAGTTAATAATTCCTCAAATCACTTGGCAATGGCAAATCGCAGCCAAAACTCGACATCAAGAAATCCTGAAGTCTACGGAATCATCTCAGGCTCCCTGTTGGTGAGCGAGACGGCCCCAATGAGAAACTGAGAGGTGCAGAGATGTTCCCGAGGCTCGATGTCGAGTTAATAAACAAATAGTTAACTCTTTGATGTACAGCCCAACGTGGAAAGATCTCAAAGCGATTGACCAGCAATAGTTGGCAGAGGCAGCAGCCTCCAGCTATTCAACCTTCAACAAATTTGTTTTGTTGAGAAATTTGCCTTTCAATTCACGACCCAATTCACCGCCCTCCCAAGTTGAACTATTTTCGAGTCCCGCAGGGTAGCGGTTAGACTGCTCGCCTCGCGAGCGAGAGGACCAGGGCTTCGATTCCTCAAACAAGTTTCCTTAACCCACACGTCTCTGTTTACCTAACAGTAAGCAGGAACCCGGGTTGTTAATCGATTGGCGGATTGCTTTCCGGGGGTAATAATCCCTCCAATAAATAAACAAATAATAACAATTATATTAGATTTGTTTCACTCAATCCACGACTGTTTGTGAGACACTGCTGTGCACAACAGTCAATCCACTTTACAATATATTCCGTGAAGCGCTTTGAGATATCTCAACAACATGATAAGGCGCTGTATAATCATAATCATCATAATCATATATCAAATGCAAAGATTATTATTATTATTATTATTATAATAAACTGCTTATTGCCTCAATGAAATGTACCCGTACAATATTCGGCTTTTGGTAAAAGTTGTAGGAGCTTTTGGAACAGGATCACAACAGCAGAAATGGCTGGGACTATAAATCAGCGTGAGATTCAGAGCCAGGATTTTTTATTACTAGTACAGGAGGGAGCTTTGAAGATTTTCCTCCACACATCAGCGCCGTTTTAATAACACCAATCAATCATTGTTACTGCCAATGTGTCCCCTGAATAGATAGCACCACGACCTTACTGCGACGCGATCGAAATGGGTAGAACGTGACACGATGCTCTTTCAGAAGAGCCAGCGACGCATTAAAGCCAAGCATCGCATTGTATATTCAGGTCAGACCCGAAGCGAAGGGGCCTTGGAGATCGAATAGCCAACTGAGGGAGGTAGGGACAAAAACACTGGTGTTTTGGGTCGCGTTTGATGTCTCTCACTCCACAAACGGCCTTGCTTTGCGGTTGTTTTTGACTGACGTTATGACCAGGTGGGGCAAGTGGGCTCACCTTTCCGTCAGCAACGGGGAGTCAAGAGAGTTTCTCCCACGTAGGTTATCACGCTGTGTGCCCAAGAGGGGAAAGAGGGAGGGAGGGAGGGAGGGGAAGGGGCTTGGAACCCAGCGCGCAAGAATGTCAGTAAATCTCACCCACTCCTTATTCCGCACTCTCGCCATTGCCAAGCTGCCCCCGCTTTCCTTTCCCAAATGTTTCCGAGGAAAATTTGCCCTCAGCTGGTCTGTGTTCACTTGAACACAACCGGCTGCCGCGCTTCACCCACAAAATACACAGTTGGATTTTGTTCTACGGTGAGACGCCAGGCTACAACGGTAATAATTCCTGCCCCCAAAATATACTAATTTGGTCACTCAACCCACCGCTGTTTGTGGGACGCTGCCGTGCGCAATTGGGCTGCCGCGTTTCGCCCATAAAAGATACAGTCACTACACTTTACAGTATATCCTGTGAAGAGCTTTGTGACGTCTCGAAGACGTGATAAGGCTGCCTTTACCAACGGGACAATCGGGGAAGCCGTGCGACGTTAGGTAACTGGTCACAGCAAGCGAGAACCACAACACTGTAAAAGAGCCAACGTTGGAGACAATTTATGGCAACAGCAATTATCTATCGTACGTCCAAAGAGTTACCTTGGGTGGCCCATGACCCAACGGAGTTTGGTACCAGCGATGTTTGTGCACTGATCACTGAGCATTGTTGATCACTGAGTTCCATCACTGTGAACTCACACCTTTTTTTTTACACTCAAGGAAGAAATGATACGAATGATCATTCTTGCGAAAGATGAACATTTTATTCTCTTTACTTACTTTTAACCTTAAAGCTAAAAGTAGAGCAACCGAATCCTACAATATTCACCGTTCTGGCTTAAACACCGATGCACGAGGTTACAGGTCCCGGCAAATAAACATGTAAAAACTGCGAGCAAGTGAGAAGATTTGTAACTTAAGGCACGTGTGTGTGGATATGTGGAGGAGCTTAAAGCTGCAATTTATTATAGTCAAAAATATAATGGTTACATTATTATAGTTAAATATCATTAGTCATCATCGACATTTGCATGCATGAAATCGTCCAATAGTTTTGCAAATGATATACTTATTTATACTAATGCAAACACACGGAAAAAAAACAATAAATCTGTAAATACCCACAAGCCAAAAGGAGTACAACAACAACAACAATAAGTTGCACTTAGATCGCTCCCCTCATGTAGGGCAGCATCCCAGAACACTTGAAAATCTACCATTTGTAAAGCACAGCTCTGGAAGTGGACACATGGAGGAAATTATGGTTTCAATGTCTTTTTGGGGACTGTGTCTGCAATACGTTTGCAACTAAACCTTTGAATCCTCCCATTAAAACTCTCCCGTGTCTGTGTCAGGTACAAGGCGTAAATGGGTAATAAAAAATAAAACTTCTATAAAACATTGCAGCTTTGAAGCTCTTTATATGATACCAATGGAGCCAACTAGACCTTCCTGTCAATTTGTGCCACGGGTGAGCTGTGCGATTGGTCCCAGGAAAGCAACAGGAAGTTGGGTCGGTCAGACAGAATCCAAAATGCAAGTGTGTTTTCCTGTTTTGAAAAGAAATGGAGGATTGGGTTGAATTTTGCCATGTTGGTGTCCGCAGTTTCTAAACATCGTTAAACTCCCGCACCCAAAAAAAGAGAGCAAATCGGAGAGCGAAATGTCATCTCCCTCCTCTCTCTCTCTCTCTCTCTCTGTCTTTCGGTCTGTTTCGCTCGCTGACCATTTTGTTACCGAATAGAGTTCCGAATATGTACCCACCACCACCGCGTGGGAATCTCCCTGAGTCTGGAATGGAATGCACACTCCTTCTCCGGAGAGGGACGCGCCCAGTTTACCTAATCCTGGAGAGGAGCGGGGCGCAGGTCAGCAAGAGCTGAGACTTGGGGAGCTCGGCGAGTGGGGGGAAGGGATCGAGCCTTCAATTTAGTCTTATTTTGGCCAGCATTTTAAGAAAAAAAAAGTCTTCCCGATTAAGATTGGGTTGAAAAATTGGGCATAATTCTGCGTCACTTTATTTTGAAGCGAGTGTAGGGCGGAGACGAGGTGAAATTTCGGGCTGATAAATGTTCACTGGGGAAACAAAATGGTGCACGGTTTTAGGTTATGATGTGTTTTCCTGGTGTGGTCAGACAGCTCCCATCGCCTCCAGGTCTCTTGGGGTTTTTTGAGCTGAAACCACAGTGACCTCAAAGTCCAGGAAAACAACTCTCTTCTGTTTTGCTTCGCGTCGGAAAGTTTTGACCCGGAAATGATGGGGACGGGAATGAGGGAGAGGGGAGACACGGGGGACGGGGGGGGCGGGGAGGGGGGGGGTAGTCAGGCTGATCTGCTTGCTTGTTTTTAAAGAGAGAAAAAAATAGAAAGGTGGCCTCGAAAGGTGTTCCACATTGAGTAAAAAACATTCACAACACAATCATTCGTAAGAGTCTGAAACACATCATTATGTCCATGGGCACGGGCTGCTGCAATGAGTTCCCGTCTAGTCTCAGATAACGCAGTCGTGGCAACTTCTCCAAGTCATTGAACAGCAGGTCAATCTTGCTCACGGGGTAGGGGCAGATTTCAGTCCCGTTGATTTCTGTGAGGGTTCGAAAAAAGAAAAGGAAAATCGCAAATATGAATGTTGATTTTTTTTGGGTGTCCGACACACACGGAAACCCTTCGCCGCTGTATCCAAGAGCATCGAAACCGAACTAGGATTTCCATGCATCCCACCTACACATGGAAATCCCAGAGATAGATTGTTGAATGTCACGTACTTTTAATATAATTGTTTCATGCAATTGTAAAATATTTACATAATATATATATATCTACGCGTGTGTGTGTGTGTGTTAATGCAATATCATTTTGATTTGTAATACGAATGTCATTCTAATACGGTATAATATTTTAATAGAATTGTAAAACATTTTAATAGTGTTATTAAAAACGTTGTCATTCTTTTTGCGGGGTGGGGGGGGCGGGCAGTAGATTTATAACAATAATAATCCATGCATTTGATGTAGCCAGGACACCGGGAGAGAGAAATTATCTTCTCTATTCGAATTGTGCCGTGGAATCTTTAAGATTCAACTGCACAGGCAGATGGCACCTCGGTTTAATCTGAAGGACGACACCTCCAACATTGCAACGCACCCCAGCACTACATTGGAGTGTCAGCTTAGACTATGTGATTTAACATTGACCCAGAGGACGACAAGTTGTGGGTGATTTCTCACTGATATATGGCACAACGGCTTGGGGCTGAAGACTCAAACGACTCCCAGTAATTCTTGTCAGGAGGGTAGAAAGTAGCTGGGAGTAAATTGTCACGTGGAATGTCCTGTGAATGTTTGTGATAACGCAAGGAATGTGGTGGAGGCATTTGAGAGCAAAGTGAACACGGGATAGCACTCTTAAAAACATAATCACTGTCTGTATTACATTCTCGTAAAAAAGTCAGGCTTCTGGTTTCCAGTGTTTGGGGTCAACATTGCGTGTTTAGAGCCACAAAAGCCTGTGGCATGAAGAGAAACCACTGACTGAACCACAACTGTCCCAACGAATGCCAAGACAAGTGAATCTTTCATTAAGAGCCACACAGATGGAGAAACTGTTTTCCAAGTGCCACAGTTTCACTTAATTATTTCTTAATGGACATCTGAATTCCTCTGCCGTTTAATTTCCCAGCACGTGGGCTGGTAATAATAGTCCAGTGCACATGACTGAAAGCGTTATCACGGATAGTGCTGACTTTGAGCAAAAGCCTACAAAAGCAGGGACAAGTTTCACTGCAATCGCACGAATGGAAAAGGGAATTAGACGAACGTCTGAAAAGGAAATAAATAAAACGTGTTTTGGGGGCGGAGAGAGGGAAGCCAAGACAGGGGAGTGGGATTGTAGAGATGGAGGAGGTGACGGTAAGCACGGTCGAAAAGGACGGTCTTCAGTCATGAGGGGGCAAGGCGGAGAGATTGAGGGAGAGGGAGCTCTTACAGGGAGCCAATTGGGCACAGGAACATTGGATTAAATGGTCTCTTTCTGTGCTGAACAGTTAAAAAATTCTGTGCGCACAATACAGTCACACCACTTTACAGTGTCAGCGTTGTTGTTGTATCACATGAGACACTTTGAGATGTCTTAGCGACGTGATGAGGCGCTGTATCAAACACAAGGATTATTATTACTATTATTATGAGGGGAGAAACAATGAAACCCGCAAACAATAGATGGTAACGTACTTTCAATGTGGTTGTGGCTAAGGTACAGGTGCTCCAGCTTTCGGTTGAAAGAAGGGATGGCGTTGAGCTTGTTGTGGGACAGGTGAAGGTCCAACAGTGACGATACGTTAAAGATCCCATTGGGGATCCCGGTGTCCGTCAACTGGTTGAAATTCAGCCTCAAAAACATGAGGTGGTGGAAGTTGTTAAAGTAGCCGTTGGGTATTTCCTTGATGCTGTTCTTGTCCAGGTAGAGTTGGAAGATATGCTTAGGGATGGTGGGAGGCATCTTTCTCAGGGAATTGTGAGCCAAGTTCAGTTGCATTAGGCTCTTGAGACCCTTGAAGGTATTTTTGTTCAGGACCCGGTCGGTCAGCTTGTTGCGGTGAAGGTCGAGCAAGGTCAGGTTCTGCAACTTGCTGAAAGCCCCGGAGGGGATCTTAGAGATCTGGTTACCGGCCAATCGCAGCTGCTCTAGACTAGACGGTAGATTTGAAGGGACCTCTTCCAACCTGTTCTTCTCCATGTATAGGAAGAGAAGGCTGGTCAAAGTATCGAAGACCTTCTTATCGACCTTCTTGTTGGAGATCCTGTTGTTGTCCAGGTTGATCCACCTCAGCTCCGTAGCATTCCTGAAGGCCTTCTCCGGCAGAGAGTCTATGAAGTTATTTTGGAGGTAGAGGTAATGAATCCTGGATGGAATGATGGGCACCACTCTCAGATTCCGGCTGTCACAGTAGAGGGCATTGGGGTAGATCGTAGGGCACGTGCACTCTCTAGGGCAGTCCGGGAAGACTGAAGGTGGGCCTGGAGGAAAGGGCGGTGGGAGGGTGGTGGCATGGTTGGGTTCTGTAGGTTCAATGACTGGTGGTGGTGTGACCACTTTGGGACGCTTAGGTCGAGGTCTAACGCCAGTACGTTGACAATAGACAACAGTTGTCAGAATAATCCCAACCGAAAGTATGCATCCCAGTTGGCCCATGTCCAAGTGACTTATCCCTGGAACAACAGAAAGGTTAGAGCCATAAACACTTACAGGACGTTTAGCCCATCGCCTCTATTGTGCTCTTTGAATCCATTCAATCCCCTTAAACCTCCCCTTTTGTTTCGTCCACAAAATACACAATCAATTTGCTTAACAGTGTAGTCCACGAAACCCTTTGAGACAGCTCAACAACGTGATAAGGCGCTATATCAAATGCAAGGATGATTATTGTTGTTATTATTAAACCTACCTTTTCCCCAGTATCCTCTGTAAATTACTCCTCTTTAGATATCTATCTACTTTTCTCTTGAAAGTTAATATGGATCCTGCCTCCAGCCACCAACCTCCTAATCTCCCCTTTGCTATCGTCTTAAACTGATGCCCTCTAGTCACTGACTCACCAACCATTGGAACTAATTTCTCCCCATCGAGTCTCTCAAAATCCCTCATCATTTTAAAGACCTCAATCAGGTGTTCCAATGGAAAAAAGCCCGGTTCCTCTAGTCTTCTCTACACAGTTTAAATGTAATACAATCATCAGATGAAGACAAACGAGAAAACAGAAGTAGCCCCAACCTCAACAGATTCTCTCAAATGTGAACTGTAGACAAACACCCAAAGCCCTTGATTCTCATACTGTTGGTATATTTACAGATGCTGATGTTGGCAGTGGGGAACATTGTCATCTCTGTTGCTTCGTAAATTTACAGCCATTGGCAGACTGCATTTCCCTCTTTACAAGCACACACCAGAGACCTGCCAAGTGTCGTTGATGTAAAAGCTCTCCAATGGAGAGCAGTTGTGCTACCTGCTTGAAGCCCAACCATATCCTGTTGGACCTATTGTGAAGTCAAACAACAAAAACAACAAATTACACTTGTATAGTGTCTTTCACATCGGGAAGACATCCCAAGGCACTGAATTTCTAGTATGGATATGTGTAGACTCCCCCCCACCTCCAATCCTCCCAAGTTTTCTATAGGTGGATTATATTATGTGCGATATAAAGTATAAGCTCATTGTGGTGCAGGAGGTGAAGGTAGCTGTAGTGCTTGTTTCATTAATCAAACCCTGGCAGTCTAAACATCTGCCAAACAGAGAAATGACCACAACAGACATCCAACAATTGGAAGGTAGCACACAACGTTCATGCAGGCTGGCAGGCTGGCTGGCTGATTGGAAAATGCCTTGATTACTCCATTTCCGCTGTTCCCATAAGGACTAACTGGAGTCAACACAGATGGCTTATTATGATCCGTTCATTCAACAAATCCATTGACGTAGTCAGCCCATTCCAGACAAAGGCAAGATTCCAAGCAAACACTCAGTACTTTGGTTTGGATCATCTTAAACTCGGTGATGAGTTTCTGCGCAATGTCAGACGCCCGACTGATCTGAAAGAAAAAACTGTCATGCTCCTAACGTTGGTGAATTTGTCATGGAAAGATCCCATGACAGTATTCAAAATACAAGAGAGTTTCTTCTGATGTTTTGGCTAACCCTCTCCCTCCCCACCCACTGCCCCCCAGTTAAAATTGATCATTCACATCGCGACTGTTTGTGGGACGTCGCTGTGAACACATCGGCTACAAAATACACAGTCACTACACTTGGCATTAAAATCGTCGCAAGTAGCTTTGAGATCCTTTGATGACAATGACAAGTCACTGTTTCGAACGCAAAGGTGATTGCTCCGGGTTATTCAATATTCATCCAATTTTATATGTACAGCTTCGTGTAAGTCAGAAATTTCCATTATATAAAAATAAATTAATTTTATTTGGGAGTCGGGGGACTGACCTGAAGGGGAAATTGAGAAACACGCGAGCATTTTAGTCATTGGCTCCTGACACTTACCACCTTGTGCAGCCGGGTTAAGAAGTTCTAATTAAGCTCCAACAACGTTTTTTCTTAAACACTCATATCCAAGCCAAATCGCCCCCACCCACCCCCTCCACGATTGCCCCATGCGCCCCCCCGCCCCCCCCCACACCCCACCCCTCACACCCTCACTCTCCTCCCGCGAATCAGCAAACCCCCTCCACCACACACACTTTACCTGACGGTCAATCCCGAGATCCTTTCAAGCAACCAGTCTCCAGTCCGCCTCTGACTTTATTCCAACAGTCAAGAACGAAAGGAATGACTGCTTTCCGTGATTAAAAAAAAACCACAGGGGAAACTGCGGAACTCTCTCTCTCTCTCTCTTTCTCTCTCACTCACTCACTCTTTCTCTCAGAACTCTCTCTCTCTCAGTCTCTCTCTCTCTTTCTCTCAGACTAAGAGTCAGCATCAGACAGTGAACCTGCCAGAAACTGATGCCAAACGATGACTTCAAGGCATGGCTTTGTGCTCCATGGCAATGGGTTCAGGCTGCGGCAGTGGAGGAGACACTGTCGCACAAGGACTGAGGATGCCAGGGAACCACATTATCCTGCTCTATCGTAATCAAAACGGTTCAAACAGAAGACTTTTTGAACACGGCATGAGCAGAGTTTTTTCTTACACACAAAATGAAACTGATATAAAAGATATTTGTGCCTAACTGATTTGGTTGCCTAACTGAGGGTTTGAATAGGGATTTGGCACAAAAAACAAGAAGACAATTTCTTTTTAACCATTGAAGACTGTTTGTGGGACACTGCTGCCGTGTTTCGCCCACAAGAACATCCAGCAAATCCACTTTACAGTATCTTCTGCGAAGCCCTTTGAGACGTCTCGAAGGCTGGCTAAGGCTCTGTATCAAACGCAAGGATTATTATATTAGTGTAACTGAGCAGAGATGTAGAGTAGGCAAGATATCATTCGAATTCAAGATCCTCGTCCTCACTTTCAAGGCCATCCATGGCCTCGCCCCCTCTTATCTCTCTGACCTGCTGACTCCCTACCAACCTGCCCGCTCCCTCCGTTCAGCGGGCTCCGGCTGCTCCATGTCTGCCGCCCGACCCGCCCTACCATCAGGAGCCGAGCTATCAGACTCTCTGCCCCCACACACTGGAACTCCATTCCACGGTCCCTTCGCTTCCTCCCTCGCCTCCTTCAAGGCCGCTCTCAAGAACCCTTCTCTTCGACTGTGCCTTCGGTCGCCCTCCCACCTCTCTGCCTTCCCTCACCCCTACACCACCCCTCCCCTATGCTCGGGTCCGGACCCCTGATTATCCAGCGCCTTGGGAAGTCCTCCTGACATGAAAGGCGCTCTATAAATGTAACTTTGTTGTGTGTTATTGTTGTTGTTGAGGCTTGACCCATTTCACCCCTCCTGTAATTGAGCTGGCCCAGGAATTTTCTGTGGCTCACTTCGTGCAAGGCAAAAAGCTTGTTTGAGGCCAAAAAAAATATCTGTGTCCTCCTTCCCGAAGATAATGTGAATGGCTTTAACTTCTTAAAGTTGAACGGTTTGCACATCCCGTCTGTGTATCCACCATCAATGAGCCAGAGTACTTGGTGCTTTTATTATTATTATTATTACTATCATTTCTTCTTTGTAGAACGTGCAACTGTTGGTCGCTTGCGGAGGTCCTCACTTGCCTTGGTTGGCGAAAACGATTAAAACATGACACTGTAACATCGGTCTGCGCTTTCAGCCACTGCGCCACTGACCCTACCCCCACACCCAAACCCCCGCCCCCCACCAATCCCTCCGCCTTGCCCCCTTCCTTCTCCTCTTTAACATCACGCCTAGAGACCTTCCTGTGTAAACCCAAGTTGTTGTTGTAACGGCACAAAGCAAAGCTGAGATGCACAGGGGCTTTCTCAGCGAACAAGTCTCTGCTTTGTGTTGAGGTTTAACTGCTCCCCTTTCGGCACTCGAATAGTCTAACTCAATCCTCGTGTGAACCGTCGCCAACTCACAGTGAGCTGAAACCATTCCTAGACCCTGCACCGCTGGGAGAATTCCATCAGGTCCAAATCATTTCCCGTTTCAGGTATAAACATCCGTCATCGGCCAGGCAGGTTCTGCCGCCCCCAAACATGATTGCACGTTTTGGGGGCTAAACGCGGCAGCCAATTGCACACAGCAGTTGAGTGACCAAATTATTATTATTATTATTTTTTTTAAAAAGGGTCGGAAAAGCGACCCGCCAATCGACTAACCGCTAAGGTGAACAGAGGCGTGCATGCGGGTGTGGAGCAGGGAAACTTGCCTAAGGTTTCGCCCTGACCCGCCCGGGATTTGAACTCGGGTCCTCTGACTTGCGAGGAGAACGCTTTAACCAATACGCTGTAGATGTTCACGGTGTGTGTGTGTGTGTGCGTCTGTATAGGTTCCAATATGGGGCTGAGCCAAATTTACTCTTGCCCCAACTGAGATCAGATAACTCAGCACAAGCCAAGTCCTCAAGCTCAGGTCCGTAATGACTCAACGTTACCTGGAAAAAACAGTCAATGAACTGACCGACATTGGTTGCGAAGTAACCGCGGAGGCAAGCAGAGCTTAGGGTAAATCGCTCCGGTCGGCGAAGAAAGACGGAGGTTCGGGTGAAATGCGCAACATTTTTTGCGCTCGTGATAATTATCACCGGGAACGCAGTTGGAAACGCCGCAAATTTCGCCCCTTAAGTGGAAAACCCCCCCAAAAAAACAGTCACGGTCGGTCCAGTCAAGATTCAACCAAAACCCACACACACCTACGTAGACTGGTGTCCAATTTGAAACCCAGAGCTTTTTATTTGATCTGGCTCTCGCTCAAGGCAGATGGTAAGACAATTAGCAACAATTTACAATAAATAGTTTCATGAGCCACTCGCTACTGCCGTTATGTTCCTCGGGACTGTATGCCAACATCGCTGTATTTATCCAACGAGTCATGTTAAACCTTTAACAGTACACTCGTAGCTGTTATTACTTGACTTAACGTTAACCCTTCAGGCAAAGTGTCAACTAGTCTCGCCCACCCCCGAGGCTCCGAAGAAAACAGTTTACACTGAACTCAACGGTAAAGTAGAAGCTTCTTGTTTCTCTCTCAAGAAGAATTCTACCGTACCATCGAAGCCTTTTGTGTGTGTGCGTGTGTGTGTGTGTGCGTGTGTGTGTGTGTGTGTGTGTATGCGCCTCAATTTATTTTATAAAAAGTAATGAGAGTCACAATGAATAATTCAACAGCCACAACAACGACAATTGTGTTTACACAGCGCAAGCCCCTCGGGCAGGATAGCGTCCCAGAGCGTTTGAGAATCGTATCTGGTCCACCTAAGACCCAAAGGGCAAATTGATTGAAGAAAAAGCTTCCAGAAAGCAGAGAGGGAAGTGTAGCTATCCGCTCTCCGGTTACGTTCTGTGGAAAAGAAGTCAGCAATAAGACTTATTAATTTCCCGCAAGGTTAATAGCAAGAGCTGAGGCAAAACCATTTGCTCGTTCCTCCGCTATTTACAAAAACTCGCTGATCTGTCAACCGGTGTAAGGTCTGAGAAACAAATCCATGCTTACCAGAATCTGTTCAGCCAGACTCGAGCCTTCTTCAAAGCAGCCTCGACTGACTGACAGTGCTGTGTGTGTGTTTTGTTATGTTTCAGTTTGTTTCCTGACCCCAAGACTCCATCGAACTAACAATGCATCCTTTATCTCCGAGCCAACTCCTTAAGATGCAATCACTCTCCCCCCCCCACCCGCAACACCCCACTCCTCCCTTTCCTCTCTCTCTCTCTCTCTCTCTCCCTCTCTTCGCTTCTCAGGCACAGATGCCCTGCATTTTTAATAAAAAAAATGTTATCCCGGAGGTCTAAATGGGTTCATTCATCGCCGCATTCCCGGCATACTTCCCCGTGTTCATGTATCGTTTCACCCAGATTCGTTCTGGCAGCTACCTCATGACCCCCGCCGTTTGTGAGTGAGGGTGACTGCAGAAATTCGACCAGAGTTCAGAGCAAAGCGACTTGAGAAATTCCGCAGAGGGTTGCTAGTAAAAGTGGAGAGAGGTGACGGAGATGTAGCGGGAATACTGGGAAGTTTCCCCTGCCCCCTTCCCTTCGGAGCTCTGCATCTCTGTTCGAAACTCTTTGAACGGGCAAAGTGATTCCGACAGAGTGCCAGAGAGTTATCAGCCACAGAGTTCGTACGTTCTAACTGCTTTAAGTTGGAGACTATTTAAAAGGGTCCCGTACCCATAAAATAATACTCACAAACTTATTCCTTCGCACCTCCACGTGGTCAAGGAAAAACGAAAAGAGAGCTTGGCTTTGCTCTTGTTCAGATTTCCATTACGTTCTGTGCTGCTTGTGTGATTACGAGCAATGTTTTGGTTCCTGATGGGAGGAGGGGAAGGCGTGGGGGGGGGGGAGGGAAGGGGGAGGATGTGCATCGGGAGATTTGCCAATATCTGACTCCGCCAGCAATGAGAAACACTTATTTGGAGAACGCACTGGATTTGGCTCACTGTACAGCCACTTGAGTCGGTGCAAAGCCGGACAAAGGCATCAAGTCTATCGCACAGAGCGACCCCGACTCAATGTCGGGGCCAGAATACTGGCCGCCATGTTGCAATACATCTGTGAAATAAGACAGGCCCACTTCCGGGTCCTCAGGTTGCCTCTGAGGCGTTCTGCGCGCGGTGCAGCCTGCTGGCGGTGACCCAGGTTGCATCGCTCTGCGCAAAATGGCCAAGCTGGCGAGGCGGGAAAAGTGGCAAGAGATTTTCCCGCTCAAACCAGGCCAGAAAAATCCACAGGAAGGAAGTGGGATGATAATATCTGGGAGTAATATTTATCAACGTAACTCGCTCATCTGGGAAGGAGTTGGATCTTTACCTCACCGCCAGAGAGGGAGCGAGGAGCCTTTGTTGAGGGCAAGGGGAAGCATCTGGCTCCAACAGCTGGGACAATCACCCACAACCCAGCAATGTTCACGCCCATCCTCGGCAGATGTTACCACAACTCCACAAAATTAACTCAAAATTGATGAAAAAACACACACCATTTGGGGCTAGTAACACGCAGTGGGCAGATGTTTCTTGCAGATGTGAAATCCTTCCGTATGACTCACAAATTTCCTTTTCATCATGCAAACGTTCTCAATCCAATCCCCCCAAAACCTTCATTGTGCAATGTCGAGGTTTTGGCCTCAAGAGATTTTTTGTGCGCGTTTTTAAAAGGTTTAGCGTTTGGTTAGCTTGGGCAACCAAGGTCAATGCGCTCACACACGCTACTGCAAACGAGCACCTGGGATAGAGGATAAAAAATGATCAGCAAATTGGTTAATAAATACCTGCCTGAGAGGTTTAAAAGAAAAGCTGTCAGTGGAGCGCGAGGGGTAAGGGAGGGCAGAGCTAAGTCTCATTTCGGACCCCATCCTATTTAGACCCCAGTGTAGTGAATCGCACTGCTCCTGAAACAGTCCCCTACAGCCACTGTTAAGAGGCGAAAACCGGGGTAAAAGTTGAGGGAGAGAGGCACTAATTAAGGAATCTGGCATTTGGCCCAAGTAATGACTAACATCGCACCTTAATTGCTGACCGAATCACTTCAGAAACACGGCCTCTATTTAAGCCCTGGCACAAGGTTGGAATTGTGTATGTGGGAACAGTTGAGATACCACTCCAATGATAAATTCTAACAAATTAATGAAGCCTGAAATGGGAACCAGGTCTGGTTATTCCCCAGTGTGGGCTGTTTGAGAGTAAGGTTGAGGGGACACAGTTCCTGGTTTCAATCATCTCCACTCCAGTACAGTAAGCAATTGGGGAGCAATTGACAAATTAACTCTTATGGTGTAGAAATGTCAAACGGTTACTTCCTCATCAACTAACTGACCACTGACAAGGAACGGTCAAGCGGATTAAATGGTGGTGAGGATTAATGGTCAGATTTTATCCACATGAAGTTTGCAGTTATTCTTAAAGCACCAAAGACGGCAAAGGATCTGCTGTTTATCCTCACAGCCAACAACAACGTGATGAGGCCCTCTATGAAATGCGAGGATAATTACAATCATTATTAATTTTTAATGGGGATTTTTTCTGGACTAGTAAGACATAACCCCATAAGCATTAAGGTTATTATTACAGTAAGGTTAAGTGAGGGTGTTATTACATTTGGTCTTTCACTTCAGGAGGAAATCTCAAAGGGAGAAACAGTGTGAGGTCCATTCAAGGGACCCTTTAAGAGAGAAAGAGGGAAAGGAAATGGGCTGAGACTTTCTTATAACTGGGAATGTGCTACTCATAATTCTTCCAAGTCTATAACTAATGTCCCTGCAGTCATCGGATTCTGAAGAATGAGCTTCTAGACATGCAGCAACCGATGATTATGAGGTGTTTCCAAGACGGTCAGACAATCAGGAGTCAATCTGAGAAACACGATACTTCCCGGCAACACTGAGGTGGATTCGAATTTCCAGCGGAAATGTATGATTTGTGAGACAACTGTGTTAGTCAATCGCTGCCAGCTGCTAGGTTCCTTGGCTTCAGAGTTGACAGCGACTCGCCTATTGATCTCCTTCAGGCATGACAAAGAGATACACGAGGCTTCCTTCACGGGCTGGTGAGCCATTCGCACAGCGAACCCTTTACGGTCCACACCTTCCGATTGTCTCTCAAACCCGAGCCCAATTCCCTGAGAATCCACCCCAGTTCTTGACCAGGCAGCAAGGTACACCGTTCCAATTACTGGAGTGTCCGCGTTGCAGAGAGTACGCACAGGCACGGTGGCCTGAATCGCCTCTTTCTGCCCCGAAAGGGTCTCTGAATAACCTAACCCTAATCTGAAAGCTGTCGGTCCAACACAGTGCTGAGGGGTGTGCTGCAATGTTGGTGATGCCATCATTGGGATAACACATTAAACCAGGCCCCAGTCTGCCTGTTCAGGTGGACTTTAAATTTCCCGCAATCGCTACTCGAAGAGAGAAGGGAGTTCCTCTCCTTTCCGGTGTCCTAGCCAACAATCCCCCAGATAAAATTGGTCACTCACTCGATGGCTGTTTGTAGGTCAATCGCTGAGGGCAAACTGGCTGCCCACAAAATGCACAGTCACTCCACTTTGCAGAATATCCTGTGAGGCGCTTTGAGACGTCGCAACGACGAGATAAGGCGCTGTATCAAACACAAGGCTTAAACTCCTCTCAAAATCCTGAGTGAAATCCATTTCAAACCTGAAACCCTACCCAAAAGGAATAAATGTCATTGGATTTATCTGCAGCTGTGTTTTCCCCCTCCAACCCCCACCCCCCCACGGTACAATTAAAAACAAAATTCCCTTCGTCAATGTTCAAGGGAACCAGACAGACATTACCACACAAAGCAAACGTCCTTCAAAAACATTACATCAGTGATGGAAAGAGCAGGCAGCAACCGAACTGGAGAAGGAATTAACAAAAACTGATTGCAGATCAGAGAACCAGAGAAGCTTACAGCACAGAAGGAGACCGTTTGGCCCATCGTGCCTGTGCTGGCTCGTTGAAAGAGCTACCAACTAATCATACTCCCCTGCTCTTACTCCATAGCCCTGGCAAATGTTTCCTTTTTAAGTATCTGTCCAATTCCCAATTACTTTGCCTGCTCGACTTCACAGATTCTCAGCACTGACGGTGGAAACACTGTTGTTTGTGTAGAAAGGTTTCGCAAGAAGACTGATGTTTGATGGGGGGAAAAGAGAGACAGCAACTTGACTCCTTGCACTCAATACATTCTAAAGTACAAGAGTTTCGTGGCCAAACCAGGGTTTTTATGCTTTTCAGATGCTTAATTGAAACCATCATTGGTTCTTGCAGTGGCGATGTGCAGGAGATTAGGTTCAGAGAACATCTGATGGGTTTTGTGAATAGCGCTCAACAGGAAGGGGAGGAGGGGAGGGAGAGTTCTTGATATTACTGAACGCAAAGCTTCCCTGGGTTATGTTAAACCACGGCAGAATGGAGGCTTTAGTTGTCCATTTTGTCCAAATTGTGCAAAATAATAATAATAATTTGCTCACTCAATTGACAACTGTTTGCGCGCAATTGGCTGCTGTGTTTCGCCCACAAAGTGTACAGTCAATTCACTTTACAGTGTATCCTGTGAAGCGCTTTGAGACGTCTCGAAGATGTGATCAGGCGCTATATCAAATGCAGGGATTATTATTATTATGATTTACTGTGCGGTGCTCAGAGTGGGCAGTAAACAGACTGAGATTCCAGACTGTGTTACCCATCGCACTTTCGGCAATGCGATGTCACAATTAAGGATTGTGATAACTTTCAATTCGCGTTGTTTACACAGGAGAATATCTCGGAGCACTTCGCAGAGAGGGAGAGAGAGCTGGAAGTTACCGATGTAAGCATCTGAAAGAGAGCAATCAATTTGCAAGATTGAAGACCCACTAATGCAACGGGAATACAATGCTCAGCCTCAATGTATCGCTGGAATTTGCGGACTAACAAAATTGCGAACGTTACCTATTAATTCACAGCGGGATTTGCCAGACACACCAACCATGAGCAAATGCTGATGATTTATTTGCGGCGATTTTAAAATAATTTCATTGATAAATTCACAGCGAGCATTAAAAGCAGTCTCTCTCGCTACATCCAATACATGGTCAATTGAAGCCTCTGAAATCGAGAGGTTTCGCATGTAAAAAACAGTGAAAGGATTTTAAGGCTTCCCAGCTCAACCCATCATTTTATTAATTAATTAACTTGTATTTATTTGGTACCCAGCATCATTATTTTACCACTAACCATCTTCTGATAGATGGCAAGTGCTGCATAGAGAGTGATAGTGATAAAATGGAGAACCGTGCAAAAATCAGAGAAGGCAGCAAAGGTCCTACGAAGGGAGCTTGACAGGGTGTGCACATGGGCTGATAAGTGGCGAATAAAGTTTAATACAAAAGATAAAGAAAGCTGTGTACAAATATTCGTAACACGAGCGAGAAGGTAACTGCGAGAGGTTATTATATTACTCCGTGTTGTGTTAAATGGTTTCAGTTAAACTTTAAATTCCTGGCTATGTGATCGTGTTTCGAACACTCTAGATGTATATCTGGGCAATTATTCTCAGACACCATATCCAGTCACTGGGCAGCTGATTGTAGGTGAGTTTGTTCCCGTCCAGCCGCAGAATCCGCATCTGGGAGTAATCCACTGGGCTGACTCTCCGACAGAAACTGGTCACGTTGAACTCTGTGTGTGAAGTAAGGTTTTATGAATGAATGAATAAATGAATGAATGAATGAATCAATGATGAAGTAGTGCAGACTAAGGTAGGTCTAGCAGAGCTGATTCCCAAAGAGTCCCATCAACAACAAATTAGCTTTCTGCATGACAGCGTTGGAGGCTGATGTCCCATTCCCGAGGGTCAACCCAACCCGTCCCATCCCGTTCAAAGAGGCTGGTTCGAGGCTTCTCTGGAACACTGCCCTCAATCTCTCCTCTCCTTCCTCCATCTTCAGGTCGTACCTGATGACCTTCCTCTTCGACCGTGCTTACGGTCACCTCCCCCCGACCCCCCACTCTCTTTCTGGCTCGGTGTCAGGCTCCGCCACTGTCAAGCGCTCTGAGACACTACCCCGCGTGAAGGGCCCTGTGTAAATGTAAGTTGTTGTTGTTGTTGTTGTTGTTGTTGTTGCGAAGCTCTTGCCAGCTTTGCTTCCTTACTGACAAATGTGTTGTCAAATGGAACAACCACCCCACCCCCACCACCCCACCCTCAGCACATTTGAGCAGGACCTAAACAACAACAACAACGTGCATTATATGTAGCGTTCCCCACGCAGGGCAGCTTCCCAGAGCCCTTGAGAGTAGTTAGAGCACGACCGAGCTGGGTGGGTGGGGGAGAAGGGGGGAGGTGACAGTAGGCACAGTCGAAGAGGAAGGTCTTCAGGTGCGACCTGAACAACAACAACAGTTAAGACAGCGGAACGAGCGAACGGGTTGGGGGTGGCTTCTTACCATCAATCCGGTTGGCCTCGATGTAGAGATAGCGCAGGTTCTGGTGCACGAGAGGGACAGAGGTGAAGTTGTTGTAGCCCAGGTCCAACTCGATCAGCGAGGAGACGTTGAAGACGTCGCGGGCCAGACGGTCGCTGTCCAGGCTGTTGTGGCCCAGCCGCAGGTACAGGAGCCTCTCAAACTGGGCAAAACAGCCGGGCGGGAGGGAACCCAGAGCGTTCCTGCTGCAGTACAGCTGCTGGATGGTGACAGGCAGGTTCTCGGGGAATTCAGCCAGATGGTTGTTACTCAGATCCAGGTGAACGATGGACTTCAAGCCTGCGAGGGGAGAGGAGGAAATGCATTCGCGGAGACGTAAGCTGTTGCCTCATTGCTTTGCTCCTTTCGCTTTGATCGCGCAGTGATTTTTTTGTTTTGTTTTTTGGCAGGTGCCAGCTGCCTGCCAGCAATCCTGTGGCTCCTGGCGCTGACACCGTGCAGACAGGATAGAGTCCAGGGAAGCTGGGATTCAACACGACCACTCACACACAAAAAACAGCTGCAGCTTTCTCCCTCAGTCACTCGCATATGCCACAATATGCGGGCTGCAACTAGGAGCAACTATGCTTTGGAGTTCCGTAGCCTTAGTTAGAGTCCTCGCCTCGCGAGCGAGAGGACCTGGGTTCCATTCCCAGGCGGGACGCAACCGTAGACAGGTTTTGTGTACTCCACACGCCTCCGTTTATCTAACAGTAAGCAGGAACCCAGTTGTTAGTCGATTAGCAGATCGCTTTCTGGGGGTAATAATCCCTCCAAATAAAAAAAAATCACTCAATACACGACTGTTTGTGGGACGCTGCTGTGCGCAATTGGCTGCCGCGTTCCGCCCACAAAATAAAGTCGTTCTACTGTACAATATGTTCTGTGAAGCGCTTTGAGATGGGCCAGCAACGTGATAAGGCGCAAGGATTATGATTAATAATCACGACATTGAAAGAAAACCATTAAATTGGACCTTTCATCTGATTTCCGTCGATGGCTGACAGCTGATTGCCCTGCAGCAGTAAGATGGTGAGGTTCACCAGGTCTCTGAAGGGCTCGGAGGAGAGGTTAGTGATCCTGTTATGGGCCAGTCTCAGATCTTTCAAGCTACCAGGCAGCAATGTTGGTACCTCGGTCAAGTTGTTGTGATTCATGTACAGATTTTCCAACTGGCTGAGACTGCTGAAGACACCATTCCCAATGGCCTCGTTCCCGATCTCATTTCTGTCCAAGACGAGCCATTTCAGCTCGGTGGTGTTGCTGAAAATGGCTGCCGGAAGGTGTTGGATGCGATTGCCTTGGACATAGAGATAGCGAGTCCTCCTTGGCAGCGTGAATGGCACGTGGCCGAGATCCCTGTTGTCGCAGTATATGGCATTGAGCCACTGTATCGGGCAGTCACAGGCCGACGGGCATCCTTGGATGCCGAAGGGTCGGAAATAGTTGTGGGAGATTCTCCCGCTGAGCGTCAACAAGCTGGGATCGTTGTCCTCGCGGTTGAAGTTGACGGGGAGCCCACCGTAGTCGGAGTAGTCATCAGCACAAGTTGTCGCGGAGAACAGGGCGGCCAGGAGAGAGAGAAACCTGACGCCCATTCCCATCACGTCCACACCTTACGGAAGATCACCGGGAAGAGGTGCTTAGAGTTATCGTATTCTGGGGGGAAAAAAGGATGATTTTCTTCAGCAGCATTGCAGGAGGACTTTGGACGTTTACAGCTCAGAGCAAAGCCATTCGGCCCGTCCTGCCATCCAATTCTCACAATTATAATGATTAGAATATATTATAATATTAAACAAAAGTCTTCTACTTCTCAAACTTATAGCAATAAGCCCCGCTTTTTTTTTATTGCCCCTTTTATGTCGCTTCACAAGATTTACTATGAAGTGCAGTGACTGTGTACTTTGGAGGCGAATATGGCGGCCAACACACAGCGATGATGTGAGTGACCAGTTTCATCTGGGGGATTGTTGGCCAGAACATCGGGAGAGAGAAACTCCCTCCTCTTTTCGAATAGCGCCGCGGGATCTTTAACACAAACTTTAAAATTTCATCTGAAGGACAAGTTTGGGTCTTGAAACCCTAATTTTGTGACTCAACAACAACAAGTCACACTTACACAGCGTCTTTCACGTCAGGAGGACGTCCCAAGGTGCTGGACAGTCAGGGATCTGCACCTGAGCTGGTGGTTGGGTTCAGGAGGGGTGGAGGGCGGGGAGGGTAGGGGTAGGAGAGTGACCGTAGGCGCGGTCGAAGAGGAAGTTCTTGCTACTCAAGAGGCAAGAGTGCTACCAACTGAGCCAGACTGACCCCACCAATATTCACTGTAGGCGAACTGACGTTTGATCCAAGGTGGTAACTCGATGGATGACGTGACATGGTGCTAGATCGAAAGCAAGAGTTGTTAGATAGACAACTGCCCAATGATCAGACTCTCGCCCGAGTCTAACCATCATGGCCACTTTAACGTTGCCTTTAAAGGACAGATCACCTGTACGCACCCAAACGTGTCACCGTGTACTGAAAAATCATCTGAAATCGTTATTCTGAAAGCATCTTCGAGCCCGCTCGATAACACTGGGCTTCACTCTTGGACGGAATTTATTTTTATATATTTTTTTTACATGAACTTCAAAAATAATCTTCAAAGAATCTGCGACTAAATTCAAACCATCTCAGCCTTTCAGCTCCCACATGTGTTTCGAATAACAATTGGCTCGCCGCAACGCTGCGCTTTCAAACCGCCCGAAACGGACGTTATCTATTCCTCGCCATCTCCTCGAGCTTATACCAACTCGAAATTCTAAGGTTTCATGTGTAAGGTCTCCAGTGATGACAATCGCAACCCCTGGACCGTAAACCCTTCACGAATAAATCTACAACAAAGGGAATAAAAAAGAATTGCAATGCTGCAATCTCTCCCCCCAGAGATGGGTTCTGCCTTGCCGCTGTCAGGAATCGAGTCAAACGTAGAGATCAAAGTACTCAGGGTCACAGCTGCAGATCGTTAGTTTCAATTCAGGTCCGTGAATCGTACCCAGGAAAGCTAGACCGACGATAATAATAATAATAAAAATAATATAATAATAATCAATAATAAGAACATAGAACATAAGAATTTGCTGGCGAAATAAGACCAATGTCCATCCATTTGGCCCCTGCACCATCTTAGCAATCGCCTGAACACGTCCTGACCCCAACTATATATTGTACCGAGATATTAATCCTTGTGTTTGATGTAGCGCCTCATCACGTCATTGAGACGTCTCAAAGCGCTTTGCAGAATGTACTGTAAAGTGGAGTGACTGTGTGCGCATATATTGTGTATGTTTCACCCAACCCACGCGCTTTCCTTCCTTTTCCTTTCCTTTCCTCCCGACTTTTTACTTCTTCCCCAAAGGGGACAAACCGACGGAGTCACATCACGACCAAGCGAGCAGTTTTATTCGAACCGGGGGCTGCTCGCCAGTGATCCGCACATCAAACACTTCGGAGTACTGTACGAGGAGCCGTAATTAGACTTAACATTTTCCACCGAGCTAATGAGAAGCTCTGTGTGGATTTACTGCACTCCCCCAAACCCACGGCATGATTGGTGCCTTGCTCCACTCGGATTACGCAGTACAAAGGACACAGACACCCTATGTCGGAGGGTGGGGGGGGGGGGGGGAGTTCCTTAATCTTCAAAGTGACCTCTGATTGTCTTCCTAATAAAGTAATTAATATTTTTAAATGAGGATTAATTAACCTTTTCACCGCGTCTCCTGGCAAAGCACAAATCAACACGACGTGAAGTCGAGCAAATCCTTTTGGAAAGGGAGAAGCCTTAACAGAAGGTAGAATTGACTTACTTTCAGGAACAGGAAGGCTTCGCGAGCTAGAGAAAGAGAAAGCGAGAGAGATCGAATTAAACCTGCGTCTAGGTTCCTTCTAGTGCTGCGTGTGTAGGATGGATTTTCCAAGTAGAGAGCCTGACAGTTTTCGGGAAGGATCGGAAAGTTTGCTTGGAGTTACATTGGGTTACATTGCAGTCTGAACATTTCCTCAGCTGGTTCCTGCACATAATCTGTCCGATTTGTGCCATGAAGAAGTGGAACACATTACAGTCTCCCACTTAAACCTCATTAAAGAGACGCTCGGTTGTTTTCCACTTCTGTTTTCTGGACGTGAAACGAGCGTTTACAAATTATTCCATGTCCCACGTCCAACACAACCATCTTGACAGTGCTATTGAAAGCTACAATAAAGAAATGTTCCGAGCATTTAATTTAGAAACGTCTCAAACTCTCTCTCTCTCTATATATATATATACACACTGCAATAGACAACTGAAAGTTTCACAAGGTGCTCACATACCAAGAGGTTATTAATATTAATAATAACAATAATAATCTCTGCATTTGATATAAGAGCCTTACGTCTCAAAGCGCTTCGCAGAATATACTGTGAAGTGTAGCGGCTGTGTATTTTGTGGGCGAAACGCGGCAGCCAATTGCGCACAGCAGGCGAGGATTGATTGACCAAATTATTATCATTTTTCGGGGGAAAAATTGTCAGGTTCAGGACAGGCTGTGAATTACATGAGTGTTTCTAATGTTATTTGAACCCAACGCTTCATAACGTCTCTTTAACTAACTATGTGACATGCAAAATAAATACAAACTGAAATCATCTGACCCTTTCGCTTATGCTCAAACCAGAAAGACATTTGGAGATGGAGAAGGCTGGAGCAGAGGTAGTGTTCACTGCGTTTGTACAATATCACAGGACTCATGTTGAGTGAAATTGACATGAAATGTCTTGTAGGCTAATGGTAGGAAACGCACAATGATGTACATACTTCACATTCTCACACGTCTGGCAGAAACAGGACAGGCATCAAATTTATGGTCATTTCTTGTCAGTGAGGTTGGGATGACTCCAGACTCCAGATGATCTGGTTTCATGTTTGCTTATCAAGCACCCAGTCACTACACTTTACAAAAACGATGCCAAAAGTTCCGGACTAAATGCAGAGATTATTACCAACCATAATCCACAATGGGGAGTGGGGGGGGGGAAGAGGGGATGGGGGTACAATCTGCTACAATCAGCTACTTGAGGAAGAAAGTCACGATGATTGGATCCAAGCATCCTCTCCTCAATATAATAATAACATATAATAATAAGACTTTAGATTTAACGCCTTTACGTCAGGAGGACGCCTCAAAGCGTTGTCACAGGATGTAGCGTATAGTAATTCACTTCACAGTATATCCTGTGAAGCGCTTTGAGACGCCTTGAAGACGTGATAAGGCACTATATCAAATGCAAGAATTATTATTATATTATTATTATTATGAAAGCGACTGGGTATTTTGTAGGCACAGTTGAGGAGTCTAACATGTGCGGAAAGCCAGGGCCAACTATTGTTTCAGTAAAACCCATTATAAAGGGAACAAAGAGACGATTTGCTTTTGTGATGGTCATATAACAGGACCCCCCACCTTGGCGAGAACAATGGCTGCTCACAGAGCCGTAAGGAGCAGGATTCAAACTGGCAGAATATCAGGCGCAACAAGAGGTTTCCACTCGGAAAAAATCATTGGGTGGAAAATGTGACCAACACCTGGAGAACAGTTTGCTTGGAGTTCGCACAAAGAGTCTCGCTACTGACACGATTCCCCGTAAACAGATCCCCGAGTGAGCTGAAGACACCCGCCTTACGCTTTCTGTCACTGCGGATTTCGCATATGGAAAATTTCGCCCACAAAATACACAGTCGATCCACTTTACAGCATATTCTGCGAAGCGCTTTGAGACCTCTCGAAGGTGATAAGTGCAAAGATTATTATTATTATTATTATTATTCTGCACCACAGCTCGTGCGAAGGAAAGGTCAGGGTAACAAGGTTAGTTTGCTCTCGGTTGCGACTCTGATACGTACAGGCAAAGTAGATGGGGGGAAAAAAAGACTCCAGGCCAAAGTACCACCAAACCATCTTGACAACGTGATAAGGCGCTATTTCGACCGTAACGTTTATTCTTCCCATTATAGCCGGTTGTTTGTAAGTGATCATCAGGTCACCAACTCCCGCAGTGAGAGGTCAGGCTCGGCCCGCGAGAGATTCTAAAAAAATATATATTTCCCGACAGTAAAAGTTTATGTGTTTTTGACAGAGAGGAACATAGGAGCGCAGGGTGTACAGGATGTGCACGCCGAGGCTTCTGAAATGCCTCGGAGTATTGTTGGTTCTGCCTGAACGACCTGCGGAATTTCTTAAGAGAATCTCCAGCCCAGCGATGGAACAGGGCGGTCCAACTGGCGGCCCGTGGGCCACATCTGGCCCACCCACTCCCTCCATCATCCCCTTATGTTGTGTTTCTGAAGTGTTGTGTAGTGACCGTGGGCGTCTTGTGGGCAAAAGGCGGCAGCCAGTGTGAGCACACACAGCGACACCGCCCAATAAAGCGAATGACCCATTTCGTCTGGTGTCGTTGGCTGGAGAGACCGGACCCAACTCTCCTTTGTTTCACTCGCTTGCAAAGAGTTAAAAGATCAAAGAAAATAATGAGAGAACCGTGCAGTGTTTTGAGAGTACAAGTGAAGCGCTGATTCTTAACCAGAGATAAGGAGGACTGGTTTAGATCCCACAGATACAATAAGCAGGATGCCTTCGAACAGATGTTCCCTATTATCTAATGAGTCTGGCTTTATTCCTGTGATAAAACAACAAAAGTTGAACGGTGCCAGTGTGGGATGTGCCTAATTCACGTCTCCCTGAGTCGAGTATATACGCTCAGAGCTCCGGGTAATTATCTTGATACAAGTTAATTGCGAGTTTATGAATATTCATATTTACAAAATTACGAAATTAACCAAGTAAACATTCAGGGCGGAGCGGCTGTGAGGCTGTTTGCAAAATAGATGTTTATAATAATCATCCTTGAGACGTCTCAAAGCATTTCATGGAATATGCTGTAAAGTGAATTGACTGTATACGTTGTGGGCGAAACGCGGCAGCCAATCGCGCACAGCAGCGTCCCCACAAACCGGCGTGGATAGATGACCACATTGTTACTATTTATTTATTTGGAAGCGATATTACCCCCAGAAAGCGATCCGCCAATCGACTAACAATCGGGTTCCTACTTACTTCCTAGGTAACCAGAGACATGTGGAGTAAGGAAACTTGCCGAAGGCTTTGCCCTGCCCGGGAATCGAACCCGGGTCGTCTCGCTTGCGAGGCGAGTGCAGGCATAACCACAGCTCTCCATTTGAGCAGCCAGAGTGAAGACAGAAGCCCACGTCTTTGGTTGACTGGATGGTTGTGATCCATAGCTCTCTTCCCTTCCTTTGCCTCTCCCGTCCCCTCCCTTCCCTTCAGGGCTCTGCTGATGACAGCACAGCCCAGACTGCTCATCGGCAGGATTTGGAAGGGCAGACCCGTCACTGGGGGCAGGGAATCCTCCCTTCAGCTCCTGTTAACCCTGCAGCCAAACCCTTGACATGTAGGGTGGTCGTAGCTGAACAAGTCAGTGGGAAAGTTTGGCAAACAGCGATATCAATGGCAAGCTATGTGGTTTTAGCTGCTTAGACTCCAGCAGTTACCCCAACCACACTCTGATGCCTCCAAGCCTTGGCTCTTGCCAATCTATGCCTAATACTTTCCGGAATTGGGTAAGCAGGATGCATCCCTCCAGGGAGAGAGTATGCATTTCATTCCAACATCTGTAGGATTAACAAGGATCCTAATGTAATTCTTGATTAAGGAGGTAAAATTTTAGCTGGGTCTAGATTTCAATGTGTCCATAATTTGGCATATTCTTCCACACGGCCTTACGTTAATTTAGGTTGAAGCCATTCTTTTTCCTCTCTCTCAGGAAATCTCTTTTTAATAAGGGCTGCAAGAAAAACAACCTCATAGATAAGTCTGAATTCAACCGTTCACCAAATTAAAGTTTGACAGAAAACAAGAGTATATCTAGAGGCAGGTGGAATTATAACGCAACCATTAGGACACATTCCAAATGGCGTTCCCATCACTTTTCTTTCTCCCAAAGGGTATTAATCTCGTGTAAGCAACTTTTCTCTTTGTTCCTGAGGAAATGAAAGCATTGTCGTAAAAAGGAGAGCGATTTGTTGATTCCAAATACTAGCTGAGCTGTCTGGAGTCTAAAATAACTTAAGTGGAATGGAAAGGCTTAAAGCAAATAAAAACGCACGAGAGCTTGGCCCGAAGTGAATTCTTCAATTTCCTAGCTGTCGTTTGTTCTGTGAGCAATTAGTGTTTTTTTTATTGCACAAACTCGAATAACCTAGGGAGCCAAAGAGACCCAGGGTACTGTAGAAACACACACAAGTTTGCTCCCTCTCCTCTCATGCTATGCTGGTTCAGTCGATTTAAGAATGCTGACATACATTTTTGGATCATACTCGCAGCTTGAAATGTTTCCCAAACACCCTGGGGCACTGGCTGACAGCAAACCAGCCAGCCTGGCTCTGAAGCAAGGACTCGGAGAGCAGATTCTTCCCTGCTCGTCTCCTGTTAACCCTGCAAGCCAAAGCCCTCACGGGTAGGACTGTCCTGGGCTAGACACCGGGGTAGGCTTGCTGGACGGTGTGCGTGATGCCAAGCTACGTGACTTTAGCTGGTTAAACTCCAGCGCGTTCTGAGGTCTCGCCAACCTGCGCCTAATGCCCTCCAGAATTAGGTGGGCAGGGTGCCACCCTCCAGGGTGAGAGCGCGTTCTCCGTTCCTTGCCAGGTTCCGTGTGTAGGTGGAGTGGCGTTCACACGTGGAACTCTCAGTCTGGTTTGAGTAAACTCAAGCACAGCGGTGATGGGTTTGCACATGTCAGACACCCGGCCGACCAAAAAAAATTAACTTCACAGCTGGTTTCAGTGCGTAAATTGGCTGCCGCGGTTGCCCTACATAAACACACAGTCACTACACTTTACGGTAAATCCCGCAAAGTGCTTTGAGATGTATTGTTGGCATGATGAAGCGGTTTATCCAAAACAAGTGTTGTTAATGGAGGAAACTCGCACTGATGAGAAGCTTGGAGAGATTGAAGGACGAGAGGTGAATGAGATATTTTGCCAAACGTGATATTTTTTTCCACAAGAATGCTTTAAAAAAAACAGAGAAAAAATATGTAATTCTATTCCAGGAAATGTCACTATATGCTTCAATTATTTCTGAGTAATACTGGCGCAGAATTAAATGGACTTAAAAAGTGTGCGTTAATCTGAGGTGAATGATAAACAAGTTCAACACGCACACTCACACACGTTCCAGGGAGGGAAAGTTCCACCTGGGTCTGGTTCTATTCGATTAAAGTAGTGTAGAATCGTTTATTACGGCTTCACTATTGAAGCCTTTTTGGTTCGTAAGTTCCTCTTTGAGAACTTTTTGCAGAAAAACGATTTGGTCGCTCAATCCACGGCTGTTTGTGGGGTCGCTGCCGTGCGCAGTTGGCTGCCGCGTTTCGCCCACACAATGTGCGGTCAATTCACTTTACAGTGCATTCTTTGAAGCGCTTTGAGAGGTCTCGAAGACGTGATAAGGCGCTGTATCAAATGCAAGGATTATTATAAAGCCGAAGACTGAATTAAACAATTTGCCGAATCCTGCTTGCTCTAAAATGTTGAGAGAAAAATAAAATAAACCTAGACTCGGATGGAATTTCTCTCCCACCCCCCACCAACCTCCCAATTGCTTCTCTTTCTCTGGAAACTTTTAGACAACTAACACACAAACAGTTAACAAACAAGTTGAATAACACGACTGAAGCGAGACTGGAAAAACAGGGTGAAAGTAGACAGAAATATATCCAGCGACCCTTGAATTTCTCTCTTTCGGATTACCTTCAAATCACTTTTTTCCTTTAAAAAAAAAGAAAAAAATGCCTTTGCCGCGTTTTTTGGGGTTGGGGGGTCCCCCTGGTTAAAAAAAAATAACATTTTTATATCTTTTTACCGTTTTACCGCCATTGCTATTGTTGATTATTAATAATGACGAATTAATCAATCGATAAATAATAATACTATTTATTATATTATTACGATATTTTTAAAAATATCAGTCTGCGTCAAAACACAAATCGTTTACCAGCCGGGAGGATGAGACGAGAGTACACTGCGCTGCGAGATTCTCCAGACTCCTGGCTCGTTGGGAAGATCAATCCGGGATCAATCAAAGGGTGAGCTGTGATTTTGCCCAGCGAGCGGGTTCACTCAACTCTCTGCCTCTTCCCCTAGAGGTGGGGGAAAATGTCTGGCTGAGAACTTATCCGGGTGAGGTAAGAGAGAGCCCTGGAGACACATCAAATCAGACTTGGCTTCTCCAATGTAAGGGACTTGGCATCTCCTCCTACACCTCTCCAATCTGCTAAAACCCTTCAATTTGCCCGTCTCGTAACCAATCAACGTTATCACTCCTTCGCTTGGTGCAAAGCCTCGGCGGTTTGGAATAACGAGAATAATCCTTGCGCTTGGTACACAGCGTCTTTCAGGTCGGAAGTGCAATGCAGGATCTACGGTAGAATGTAGTGACTGTGTACCTTTCTGGCAGAATGGGGCAGGCAGTTTTTTTGCGCAAAGCAACAAACCACGTACCACAAGCAGCCACGGAGTGAGTGACCTGTTTTATCCGGGAGATATTGTCGGTCAGGATGCCGGGGGAGAGAGAAACTCACTTCTCTTTGGTAAACAGCACGTTGTGGCTATATGCATTCATACATTGCACACAGGGCCAGAAGCCTCACGTGGTCTGGACTCTTTTTCCAGCAGGGAAATGAACGCAGGTTAATACAACATTTTCTGTCACCAGTTTCTCCCTGTGTCCTGGCCAGCGTTTCACCCACAAAATACACAGTCACTCCACTGTACAATATATTCTGTAAAGCGCTTTGAGACGTCTCAACGTTGTGATAAAATGCCATATCAAATGCAGGGATTATTACTATTATTATAATAACACTCCGCTGGATAAAATTGATCACTCGCTCCATGGCTGTTTGTGGGATATTTCTGCGTGCACATTAGCTGCTGTGATCACCAACAAAATTCACAGTCACTACAGTTGACTGTAATCACCTGTTTTGACTCATTGACATTACAGAGATCTGAGCGGGGCCCTATTAAATGCAAGGATGATATAATAATGATAACCCTTGCATCGACCCTGCGCCTCTCAAGTCGGGACGACATCTCCAAACCCTTCACCAAAGTGTAGTAACTGCGCGTTTCGATTATCAATAATAATAATAATAGCAATAATAAACCTTGCATTTAATATAGCCTCTCATCACATCATTGAGACGTCTCAAAGCCCTTCATAGAATGTACTGTAAGGTGAATTGATTGTATATTTTATGGGTGATTCTCTAATAAACTTCAAGTGTGGAATCCTGATTAAACTCACCAAATCGTTTGTGCCCTGTTAGAGCCAGAAGCATGTAAACCATTTGCCTGTGAAGAGCAATGGACAACACATGGATTAGCTGCTTAATACCTCTGGAACAGATTGGTTCTTTGAAGAGAGGGCTCCCCCACATCTTGGTTCAAATGTTTCAATCAACACCTCCCCCGGGTAAAAAAAAAAATCTCTACAAGGCATAAGGATTTCATTCCGAAACATCTGCAGGATTTATTTAAGTCCCGGTCTCCTCTGCATTATGTCCTCAATCTAAAGGACTTTGCAAGAGTCTCAACCAGGACATACCAACCAGCATTGACCACTGGCCACATCTGGCATTGACACTGAAGAGTATCTTCTCTTGGTTTCAGCTCTAGTGGTGTGACTGACTCGGACTGAAATTCTGCCCCACAAAACACACAGTCGCTACACTTGACAGTACGTTCTGCGAAGCGCTTTGAGACGTCTCGAAGACGTGATAAGACGTTGTCTCGAACGCAAGCTGTTGTTATTTACTCTGCGCGTTCACAACAGAAGCAACAACAACAACAACAGAAGCAGCAACCATGACAACAACAACTTGTGTTTATGTAGCGCCCTTCGCGCAGGATAGTGTCTCGAAGCGAATCTACGTTTGGCCTTAAATGTAAAGATCGCACATAATTGTGGGAAATTTCCTAAATTCAGCCTTAATTTATTTTTTATGAGCCGCACGGAAGCCAGGCTGTTGAATTAAGAATTATTTGTGCAATCTCAAGGGCAAAATCCGCTTTGATAGCCCGGGCTAAGGTCTCGGGCTCCATTTTTCAAAGCAACGAATAGCAAATTGGTGGAGACTTGCACCGTAGTGGTTAGAGCACTCGCCTCGCAAGCGAAAGGACCCGGGTTCGATTCCCGGGCAGGGTGGGGCAAAACCTTAGGCAAGTTTCCTTATTCAAATGCAAGGATTATTATTATTATTATTATTATTAATATTATGAAGTCTGGACAAAGAGAGCAAAGCATTGAGAAAGCCCATCTGAAGAGGGAATAAAATTCACAGAATCTCTCGCTATACAGGGAAGATTTGGGTACCACAGACTGACATCCCTCACTTCCGTGATATTGTTACGCGGTTCGAACCCCTGGATTTGAAACTAACATCTCGAGAAGCTCTTTGAAGAGCCTTTTCTTCCAGGTAACGTAACAGTTTATTGCAACAGCACTAATAAAGGACCTGCTTTGCTCTATTTCCCCCCTCATTATGAAAACTGCGGTGCGATCCAGAAATCGGTGGCTATATTTATCCGCACGGCTGCACTCGATCAAACAGCGAGGGTGCAGGCGAAATACTTGACAGAAATGCCTTGGAACTCCTTCAAAAGGGCAGCAGGTTTACAGAGAAGTGTGTGGTGTGGGGCGTATAGCGTTGGGGTTAAAGCCCAGAATAAGAGGAAAAGTACTGTTTTCAGGAAATGACTCACAGTGTTGATGTGAAAATGACCAACTGATATTATGGCTTTTTTTTTTAATGTAGGTTTTATTAACAAATTTTGCGGGGGTTAGAACAGCGAGTTTCCACCTCAGCCCTCACCTCCCCCCCTCCCCATACACCCACTCCCCCCTTCCCTCACTGCCTCCTCCAGGCTATTAATTACCATCTCTTACCGTGAACCTTAATGCCTGGCCTTGTTTCAGTCTTATCATTTCCATATGATTAGACGCACTATTATTTAGTCGGTCAGCCTGACTCAAGTTGTGTTTGGGAGAATACAGACCGAGCAAGACTCTGCTTCGCTTACGGTTAGGAATCTCGATTCACCAACTCTCCCCAGAACGGACTAAGACTACAGACTTCATCCACGTCCATCGCACTCGCATTCTGACCATCAAACCCCACCACTAACAGGTATGGAGGAACGACTTGAATGCTTCTCATTGTGGATCCAGGTGCTTCATTTGTACTCAGTATCATAAGCTAGACTGCGTTAGCTCGTGGGAGACAACATCAGCCCAGAGGCACGTCAGAAAGATCACTCTTGGATTAACGTGCTCCATTATATTCAATACGGTATTTTTTGCATGACTTACCCGATGATTCGCACCATTTCGTCTTCACGAAACATTATATCTGTTCCTCAAAGGATTCAGCGGGTGAATGATTAAAGGGTTCATTACTCGAATTTTGGAGGCAGTCTGGAGCATTAGCAATTATCTATAGCATTATCGAGTGTCTAGATTATTAGCGAATATTATTATTAAGATTTCTTGGTGTGTCCTGGCTGCAGTTCCAAATGATAATACTACTACAGTACTTATAATAATAATAATAATAATCCTTGCATTTGAAATAGTGCCTTATCACATTGTTGAGATGTCTCAAAGCGCTTCACAGGATATACTGTGAAGTGAATTAACTATGATCTCCTTTGCTCATCAGATCTCTGGGTGAAGATGTTCGTAAACATCGTAACCTAAGTTTCCTAACACAGACATGACGGGAAGACAGGCTCTCTCTTCTGTGCCACAAACTTCTATGAGTCTGTGGTTTCACAATAAATGACAACTTTACAACTTGTACAGTAACTATTCAGATTTTAACTGAGGACAAACCTTTCCTCACTGCACATCTCAGCAACTTTCCTTGACTAGAGCCCCGAGATAGCAAAAGTTCATCTAGATTTTACTGAAAACATTTCGGTTTTATAAGTTTATTTCTGAAAACCATCAGAACAATTGCAGTCGTCATGCATTAGCATTCTGTCTTGTCAGCCGGTTGCACTCTTGCCTCTGAGTTAGAAGGTTGTGAAGGGGTTCAAGCCCCTACATTTGGGATTCATAGTCTTGGCTGACACTCCAGAGCAGTCTTGGGGAGTTTGAGGGGTTGCATTGTCGGAGGTGCCCTCCTTCAGGTGAGGTATTAAACCAAGGTCCAGTCTTTTTAGGTGGACATTAAAGATCCTACAGCGCTACCCAAAAGAGAAGGGAGTTTCTCTCTCTCTCTCTCTCGGTGTCCTGGCCAACAATCCCTGAAAATAAGAATTGGTCGTTCGCTTCACGGCTGTTTGTGGGACATGGCTGCATGCAAACTGGCTGCTGCATTCGCCTATAAAATACACAGCCACTGCAATTTACAGTAATTCCCGTGAAGCACTTTGAAACGTCCTCCCGGCATTAAAGGCACCAAATCAAACACAAAGATTCTTCTTGCTGTTATTTATTATATATTGTTAATCACTCCACAAGATGGGAAAGCTGTGCACTTAAAGTTCGACTGAAACTGAATTGAAGTTTTATCAAAATATAGACTCAACAGGATCTCTGTTACAAGTCTGTGTATGGAGATGCTACATTTTTTGGAGGGGATGGGGGCAATGATAGTAGATTATTATTATTAATCTATGTGTGTGTGTGTGGGGAGGGAGGGAGACTGATCCTTGAGCCAAGATACCAAGCATCTAGCTGCAGTTTTGAGACTTAGACTTCAGATCATTGAACCTTTCAGGGCTGTGATTTTAGTCAATTCTCAGTCAAGCGCTCTGGGACTCTATCCTGCTTGAGGGGCGCCATATAAATGCAAGTTGTTGTTGTTGTTGTTGTTGGGTGCGTCAGCAGAGCTGAACGAAACCAGGGCGACGCAATGAGCCGAGATGGAGGGTGTTTAATGGTTAATGATGGAAGCTCTTGGACATTCACACACTGTCTTATTAACGGAAAACTACAGCCAGAGCTTATTAGCAAAAGCTCCCCAGGATAGAGGCGGAGGCGTAGGGAGGGGGGCGGAGGGGGGGAGGTTGAAAGGTTCGTGTTCAGCAAAATTGCAAAGTTTCATCAGCCCCAGTAAAGAACACAGCTGGAGAGTTAAGGATATTTATATTAATACCGTGTGTTCCTTATGTTAAGTTGAAGTCTTGACGGTTACACGATGTGCGATCGAGAAACAGCCACGGTTGACTTCATTGACTTCATTCAGACGCCTCAAAGTGCTTCACAGAATCTACGGTAGAGCGAATTGACTGTACACCTTGTGGGCGAAAAGCAGACAGCCCGTTGCGCACAGCAGTGTCCCGTGCAATTTGTTGGTGTTGGCTCCACGATATTTTAAGGCCCCTCTGTCAAACACGATACTCGTCATTTATGTGATCAAATGCAGGACCTATTGGCTTTCGGTTCTTCTTGTATTTTCTTGGCCAAGTGCTGCAGATGGTGTTGAGAGAATATGTTATCTGCCATACACATGTTTCTCCCCCAGTGCCAGGAAACCGGTAGAAACTCCCTCCACTTTTCAAATAGTCTCTCTAACGTCCATCAGACACGCAAATGCACTCGGGGGGTGGGGGGGAGGGATGTGGGGGGCCTGTTTGATCCTCTCTGCGATGCCCACCTTCGCTTCACGTTCATTGGTCGGGGCCGATCGCACAGGGTCTCCAGCCGCTTGGCAGCTGAGCGCTCACTTTGCGAGGAACGAGAGGCACGTGTCTCGTTTCGTCGCCCGCTCTCCCTCCATTTATTTCGCGAGCTTGCCGACCAAATACACAGTCACTAACACCTTCACGGTAAAATCCTGTGAAGCTCTTTTTGACGCCCCCAACCACGTGATAGAGCGCTACGTCAAATCAAACACAAGGGCTGTTATTCTAATTATAATTATCTGTGTTATATGACGCAACTCAACCACCCCACCACCCACCCCCACCCATCCACTGTGGCTCGCAGCTACAGAGTAATGCCATTTCACCCACAAAATACACAGTCACTACACTTTACAGTATATTCTGTGAAGCGCTTTGAGACGTCTCGTAGACTACTGGTGTAGTGGAGAGTGCTGGAAGTTGCAAAGTGACTAAAGGTTGCTCACCGGGCGGAGGAGCTGAGGGAGATGTGGTAGGCATTGCGTAAGGACCTCTTTCTCCATATCTAATGATAAGGAAACGGTAAACGTCTGAATTTCTTTCCTTCGACAGCGGCCATGAGTGGAGCTGCGTTGATGTTGGTTTTCTGTCTCCTGGCCTACGCCCACTGTCAAGCCAAGCCCTTCAAGCAGTCCAGCTTCTTTGACTTGGTGGGAGAAGACGGGGGATCTGGCGTGGAGCCAATCGAGGAGAAAAGCCATCGCCCTCGGTACTTCTGCCCTCCAAAGTGCATCTGCCAACGCAATGTGGTGCAGTGTTCCAACCTAGGTGAGGGGGAAGCTTTGTATTGAAGTGACTTATTAATGCACGAAGGATAAATTCAAGCTCAGGTTCCAGAATCAAAGAGTTCATGTCCTTATGACATTGGAATCCTTCTGAACATTGGTCTTTGCTTTTTCAGATGTTGGAGGATATCATCCAAAGCAAACTGAGCGCTCAAAGTGTTAACACAACTTCTTTAAACAGCTGTTAGATCAATGAGGGGGAAAGGCTCAGAGTAGGGAGAAATATTTATGGCGTAGACCAAAGGAGATGTTTCCTTTAACCCAACAAGAAAACAGTGTCTTAACATCTGCCAAAGTGATTTCTAAATAATTACCGTTATCAAATTGACTCTCGGGGCAGGTTCCAATTCACTCTAGATTGGGAAGCAAATCTTGAATGGGTTAAACTTGATTCAGGCCCCAAAATAACAACAGTTAAATACCGCACTTGCAGGTGGCAACGGCATTTGATCATGTCAAAGACGTCTCAAAGCCCTTGGTGCCACCGGTGACCAGGAAGCTCAGTGACCGGAATCTGGACAAAATGTCCTGAATTTGAGCCATTTTAATCCGTGCGGAAATAATGGAATTACAACCAATTGGTTACCTTCAGGAATGACAGGAAAACAAGAACCAGAGGAGGCCATTCGGCCCTTCGAGCCGGTCCCATCAATCTATTGGGTCTTGGCAAACCTTTTTAAGACGTTACCCTCTGTGAATTGCGCTATGTAAATGCAAGTGGTTGTTTTAGTAATGTCAGGGGATCTCTATCTGCTAAGGCCAGATCCAAGATTTAAAAAAAAAGCCTTGGTGCCAATATTTATATTTTGATTTTATTTTTGGAAGTGACCTATTCAGATTGGTTCCAAAACAGAGTCCGATGTCGGGACTTTGAACTCACGCCGTCTCGGCTGATGCTCCAACGCAGTGCTGGAGGAGCTGATTTGTTGGGGGTGACGAGATGTCAATCGGAGACAATTAAAGATTCCCGCAAACAATATTCGAAAAGACAACCGAGTTTCTCTCCCGGTGTCCTGGCCGACAATTCCAACCCCGAGATAGAATTCACAGGTGATTCACATCACCGGGAAATTGCTGTGTGCAAAATTACCCGCTGTGTTCACAGTAAAGTCTTGCGAAGCACTTTGAGACGTCTTGACGACGTGATAAAGGGTTGCATCACACACAAGGATTATTAGAACTGTATTATCAATGTTTTAAGCTTGATCCCCTGCCCCCTTCATTTCTCTCTGTTGGCTCCACACACAAGTTATTGCAGGCAATTTCCAAATAGGGAGTGTTAAAGACTGATTTAACACTCCCTATTTGGAATTATATAATCCATTATAATCCATGCCATTGTCATTGCTCACACAAAACCAGCAATTTCCTATGACTGGTTCTGCTGCCACGTTGAATGTTTCCTCTGGATCTGAAGATTAATGAGTTCAACTTGAACTTCATACTTTTAGACCAATGCAACATCACGAGACAGTTCAACGTTGAAAGCCAGTATTTTGGGGGCTGTAAAATAACGTTGAAGTCTTGTAAAATATATTAATTTTCTTCTCAATTTTCCTCCTTTCACTTTCCTTCGACCCATCTTGGTTTGGCGAGGAGACCGGAGACATTCAAGATGGTCAGATCTCTCTACAGTTGCAACCACTGACATCAAATGAGCCTAACAGGAAATTTACTGACTGGGCCAGGCAGACTGGAGCTTACAATCAATTTTTTTTCACCCCCCCGTCTTTGATAAAAGTCCCCAGCCTCTATTTTTCCCTCTGCATCAGTCAGATGTCTTGATTATGAAAGAAAACGTTTGTCAAATAGGAAAGAGGAAAGAGATCTGCTTTATTTAAGATTTCATTAGTTTTTCTGGCACAAAATCCTCTGTGCTCTGATGATAATAATAATAATAATAATAACACTTGCATTTGATATAGCGCCTTATCATGTCGTTGAGATATCTCAAAATGCTTCACAGAATATATTGGATTGACTGTATATTTTCTGAAACATAGCAGCCAATTGCACCCAGCAGTGTCCCACAAACAGCTGCGGATAGAGTTACCAATTTTTTTGAGGAATTATTATCCCCGGAAAACAATCCACCAATCGACTGACAACTAGGTCCTACTCACTGCTGGGTAAACAGAGGCATGTGGAGCAAGGAAACTTGCTTAAGGTTCTGCCCTTCCCAGGAATCGAACCCGGGATCTCTCGCTTGCGAGGCGAGCATGCTAACCACTACACTACAGGACTCCACGATTATAAGGATTGCTGCACTTTGATCCATCGGCTGATGGAGAGCTCTGCTTTCAACTGTGGTGAAGGCACAAATATTCATCACGGACAATCCAGCGGAGAAGATAAAAGTGCTCTGTGGATTTGCTTTGACATAACTTTTTTTTGTCTGCTGCAGGTCTGACCAGAATCCCCACTTACATTCTCCCTGACACTTCAGTGCTGGATCTACAGAACAACAAGATCAGAGAGATAAAGGAGAGAGACTTGAAAAACCTAAAGAACCTCCTTGTAAGTGAATTGACTCCCTTGATTAAAAAAAGATTGTCATCTGGACAAAGCGAGTTTGATACTTTTTGGCGTGAACAAACCCTGAATAACAGAGACAACCTCAAAGGTCCTATGTCTGGTCTGGTTTTGTTTTGTTACTGGACATAAGTTTGGAGACTCAGAGACTCCATCTTCTAAATATCTTAAAGTTCCTTTGCGTCACTTCCTATACAGTCTGGTAAACCGGAAATGATGCGATGTCTGTGTCTTTTCAAAGATCAAATGTGTGCGATCAAAAAAACAGAATACGATAATAATAATCGTTGCACTTGATATACTGCCTTATCATGTGGTTGAGACATCTCAAAGCCCTTCACAGAATGTATTGTAAAGTGGAGTGACTGTGTATTTTGTGAGCGAGGAAGGGGGCGGGAGAAGGATGGGCAGGGCAAGAACAACAACAACAAATTACACAGAAAGATGTCCCAGGGCGCTGGACAATCAGGGGTTTTGGCAAGGGTGAGGGGGAGGAGGAAAGGAGAGGAGGAGGGTCGATGGGATAGATGGAGGTGGGGGAGGTGGGGGGAGCGGCAGGGTGGAGTAAGGCCAAAAAGGTTCAAAATATTTTTCTTCTTGAGACGGGAAATGCCAAGGCTGAGTGAGAAAACCAACAGCATGGATTAAATTGGGTCAAACCGACTGTTTTCATCCTATATCATTCCAACACAATCCCAATACAATGAAGAAAGAAAGCCTCCTCTTCTCCAAATACTTGGGTTGGCTGTTCCCATCATTTCCTTTCTGGCCACAAACTCAAAGTTACTATTACTAAAATTGACTCCTTCCTTGGAAGATCCACAATTACTGGACAAAGTTGTTCTTCAAATAGTCTGGGGACGGAGAGCAAAAGTTATTGGAGCCATCTGAAACTCATCCTGACACATCTACAATTACTCCAAGTATTTTCTTAAAGTAATGGTAAGATTCTCTGTGTAGAGCCCAGTGGACATCGTATGACACAGGGGAACTGTGAGAAAATTAACAATAATTTGCAAACAGGGGAATGTCTCGGGGGTGGTTTATAGCGATGGCGTGGGAGCCTGAACAGGGTGGGAGAAGGCGGGAGGCGACTGAAGGCGCACTCAAAAAGACCCTAAAGGTTTTTTTTTAGGGTTTTCGGAGCAGAAAGGGAGGAGGCAAGGAGGAAGGAGTTTAGAGTTCCAAAGAACGAGGTAAAGCAATACAAAGCTTACCCACTGATGGTGGGGAGAAGGGCACAGAGATGTCTCAACGACGTGATAAGGCGCTATATCAAATGCAAGGATTATAATTATCATTACTGTTAATATGAAGCTGGCCTGAGTACACAAAGAAGAGGGAGTAGGCTGTTTTATTTCAAGGGATATATCAACCAGTTATTATTATTGTTACCCGAACTAGACGATTCAACTGGGTTTTTCTCCGTTTTCTCCCCCGTTTAGATTTTAATCATTGTGAACAACAGACTGCGAAGGATCCATCCCAAAGCCTTTGCCCCGCTCCAGAACCTCAAGAGGTTGTACCTGTCCAAGAACCTGCTCAAAGTAGTCCCAGACAATATGCCAAAGTCGCTCAATGAACTTCACATATGTGACAACAAGATAAAGTATGTGAAAAAAGAGCCCTTCCTTGGAATGTCCAAAATGTTGGCTCTTGGTAAGAGACATTCTCAAATCTTACAAAATGCACTCATTTCATTCTCGCACATTTAGTTTCGTGATTTCATCCAACTCCCCCCCCCCCCCCCCCCACCACCCCTCCCCACCGCCTTCCATTTCATCTGGCCCAACAGCTCCCTCTATAACCCGTGAAAGTTATCTTATGTTGTGTGTCAGGGTTGCCGTAAGCCTTTAACGAGTTACTTTTCCTCCAAACAGAATTCAGTAGAAACCCAATGACGGGCGAAGGGATTGAAAAAGGAGCCTTCAAAGGGTTGAAAATGCTCTCGTACCTTCGTATCACTGAGACAGGACTTACTCAGATCCCAAAAGGTGAGGTTTACTGAACATCAAATGGGGTGGGGGGGGGGAGAGAGTCACTGACTTGCGAAGTGTGTGGCTGTTTGGGGGGACCTCTCTGTGCCCAATTGGTTGCCGCAATGACCTAGAAAATAGAGTCAATACACTTCACAGTAAAAATTCTCTGAAACGTTTTGAAATGTCTCGATGATGTGATACCAGGCTCAACCAATACAGGGATTAATATTATTATTATTATTATTATTGTATTCCATCAACGTCAACTAACCATTAGATTTACTGTATTCATGTAACATTTCAGTATCCAGAATTTGGGAAATTCTTCAACACTGTCTTAATTTTGAAGCCAATTTCCTGCTTTTTTTTTACTGAACTACGGAAAAGCAGCTTCACAGGTTAAGGGTGAAATTCAACAATTTGCCAAACTCTGACTCTTTAAAATTGACCAATAAAAAATGTGGACATCTATTATTAATTATTATTATTACTTATCAGCCACCTTACGTTAAATCCTGCAAAGCACTTCGAGACGTCCTCCCGATGCAATGTACAAGAATAATTATCATTAGCGGTGAATGCTTCCAGTTGTTTGATTGAATTATGCGGAATTCTTTTCAACGCACGCTCGTTCCTATCCACCGTAAGTGAAAGGTAATGAGTGAGTCGCATTAACGTCCTTACTTTGCTTTGTTTCTTAAGACCTGCCGCGTTCATTAACAGAGATTCACCTTGACCGCAACAAGATCGTCAAAGTGGACATGAACGATTTCAAGAACCTTCACAATTTGCGCAGGTAACAATACAATACAACACAAAACTACATTTGTATAGCTTCTTTCTCATCGGGAGGCTGTCCCACGGCACTGGGGACTTACCCAAACCACCTCGTAAGACTCTCTCGTTTGAAATGTCTCATTCGGAAATTGGAGTTGAGGTACAGATCAGCCCACTCCTGATCCTATGTTCCTATGGTCCTAAAGCGGTTTCGGAGAACGGACCTGGATCTGAAGCCAGAGCAAAACATCACCTATGTTTTGTAACACCGTGATCCAGCTAGAGTCGTAACAACGATCTGAGGTGATCGCGCACCACAGAGAGCAAGGTTAGCAAGTACTGTATATATATTCTAGATCTAAGTTCCTCGCAAGTTCTGATGTATTTTCTTTTTCATTGTGTCCAGGCTGAGGTTAAGCTCCAACAAGATCAGATATTTTGCAAATAAAACTCTCAGTCACATGCCAATGCTCCAGGACCTCCACTTGGACAACAATAAGCTTTTCTCCATCCCCCCCGGCCTGCCCCAGCACAAGAACATCATGGTAAGCTCCGAGATCTGGTGAACAGTGCAGTCACTTCTCACGTTCAGGATCATTCCAGCAAGATCATTTGGGGAGGACAAGTTTGCAGGGCTATGGGGATAGAGCGGGGAAGTAGGATTGATTTGGATAGCTCTTTTAAAAGAGGATGACACGATGGGCCAAATGGCTGCATAACTCTATGATTCTATGGTTCTAGGAAGTATTCGGCATCATTATTGTGAGACAGTAGAGTAAGAGGACACGGGTTTGGAGTTGCAAAAGGGGGCAATTTCAGGGCAGTTTTCCTTTGCCTAGAGAGTAATTAACAACTGGAACAGGTTGTTAGGAACGGTGCTTGAAAGCAGCTCGATGCTGTGATGGGAGGATGGGAATGCGGATATATTGGAAGGATGAGATCAGATGGTCCGAAGGGCCTTTTTCATCCAAACCGATCTTGTGGGCTCTGGTGAACCTCCGCTCAGCCGGAGTCTTTAACAAGCTGAGGTGAATATGGGGCAGGATAAACATCATCCACCTGGTCCTGGCACCTCACGGTGTTTCAAATCCAGCTCGTGGCTCCTGCAAGTTCTCCACCCCACATGAAAAAAAATGTTCCGCTATAAAATGTCCCTGGGAAATTTTGGCTCGAAAACAAATGAGATTCTCGTTATTTTTTCGCTTGTGGAAAGTTTTATAGCATAAGTACAGAGCACAAGCTGCCTACAACAAAGAACTTCAATGAATGACAGCACCCACCCCATGGCGAGGGACAATCAGTATCCCATGTTGGATTTCTACCTGATACACGTGTGGTTCCTAGCTCTAAAAGGGTCTCACCGCACTACGCTACGGGAACTGCACATTGGTATTAAAACTGTTTTACTTACATGATGTCGATTGCAGGCACTCTACCTGAATGACAACCACATAGCACACGTAAGAGAGAACGACTTCTGCCCGACCAAAGAAGACTCATTGAAGACCCCTTACAGCCGGATCAGCTTGTACGGAAATCCCATCCCATACTGGGAAATCGAGCCCGGCATCTTTTACTGTGCGGTAGACTGGATATTCATCCAATTGGAACGCCCCACCTAAGGCCCGAGCTTCAGAACGGTAGCAACGTATTGAAACACAGGACTGATAAACACCCATCAATAGGCACCGACCGAATAGCTGATTCTTTCAAGTGTAACAATTGGTTTTACTTAACCGTGCACACGAGAAATTTGTTGTTGGTGTTGTTGTTTGTTTATTTGTTTGTTTCTTTGTTGTTGTTGTTGTTGTGGGAACACATTAACTTGGCACCACCGCCTCCTAACACTCCTACACCTTTGTCTATCTTGTTCAAAGTCAAGATCGAGCAGAGATTGTTTTAACGGCTTTTATACATCGGCCAAACCTTGGAGCCCCAAAATTATACAAGGCAAGAAAGACCCAGACCACGTACAGAAATAACCCACTTATTGAGTTTGTCAATGCATTTTATACAATAGAAATATGACCAAGTGTATTAAAGTATACTGGCAACAATCCATTTACCAGGAATTGAAGGCCTATACCTGGGACTAATCAGTTAGATGTGACATGGATTTACATGGGGTGAAAGGCAGAGAAACAGGCCAATCGGCCCAACTAGTGCGTGCCAGTGTTAATACTCCACAGGAGTCTCCACCCCTGTCTATTCTCTTCTCCCTCCTGTTATGCATCTGGTTTCTTCTTAAATACATCGATGCTCTGTGCCTTGTGGTTTACTTGCGACACACAGCAAATGTAAGTTGTAAGATTGTGGTGTGTGGCTGTTATTATTGCAGTGCAGGTCCTGCAAGTGGGTGTGAATGACAAAGCGAGCTGGATGGGCTGAGCAGCTCTCTCTCGTTCCTACATTTTAATTTGCTTTGAAATAGTTTATTTTACTACGTGAAGTGGTGTTATTAAACTATCCTAACTGGGTATCAATAAGCCTTGTAGTTAAGGGTAGAAGATAGATGTAGATAGTTTGGTTTCACATAACCCAGCGCCACAGTTCGACAAAGTCAAGTCAACAGCTTGATCCTATGTATTTATATGATGGATGAGATTTAAGCAATGCAGTTTATTAAACAGCAGCTTACATCTCCAAGGATTATCCAACACCAGGAGTATTAATAATCTAATAATAATCCCTGCATTTGATATAGCCCCTCATCGTGTCTTTGAGACGTTTCCAAGCGCTTCACGGGATACACCATACAGTCAATTGACCGTATACTTTGTGGGCGAAATGTTTATACATTTCAACAAGTTTCAATCCGGGATCAGAGAAGTCGTGTCTGCTATCATGAGCTGCAGAGGACTCGCATGCATGGATTCATCCAATACAAGTGGTCAGTCATTGGTTATGGACACTGGCAAGAGACCTTTGTGGGTTTCATCTTATAACCAGTAATTCTTGTTAGCGTTAAAAATGTTCCCATTTGTTGGGGAGAACTTGGATGTACATGATATAATTATGCATGATATAAGTTATCCCAAACACAGTACACTTATCTGTCTGAGCATACACAGGATTTATATTATTTTCATTTCCCGCACCCCACCCCCCCCACCACCCCACTCCATTGCTCCCTAAGTTGAATGGTTTCTGCTCAAATCTTTCTCCTCTTTCTGAGCTGTCTAGCAGTGAAGTTATGTTTTAGATAACTAGCTCTCACTAGTTATTGTAACCTGTATATATAATATATAGATATATTCCGAAATAAACACTTTTGACAAAAGCGAAAAGCTCTTACGCAATGTCTTTTGCCTCGTGTAGTACAGGGGACGCTCCCTGGCATGTAGGGCGCTATATAAATGCAAGTTGTTGTTGTTGTTTGGTGCGTTTTCAAAGAGTAGCCCTCAACAAGTAACACATGGTGAGTTTTGAAAGAAATTCAACCTGAACCGCTGTGACAAAGGCAAAGTTTGGGGCCAGGTTCTTCTTAGTAAAAAGGACGTCACAGTATCTTGGTGGAACGTTTGACAATTTGCGATCAAGAAGAACATTGATGGAAAAAGACGTGCTAAGATGGATAACAGACAGTACCCACCATTACAGCAATCAGTCTCTCTGGGATTACGTACATCAGGCTGAGAAGCCTGTACTTTTTTCCTGTCCGCACTCCATTCCCCTCGGCATATCTGGCACAGAGAAGGCCATCTTGCCCAATGGTCCATTAACATCTAGTCATCCAATAAAGATTAAATCCACTCCCGAAACCAAACCATTTCCAGATGTTTGACTCAAACCTATGGTTAACAATTATAATAATGGATCAAACCGGCTTAAGACCTCATGTTTTCGAATCATAATTTAAGCCGATAGGTAATTAAGAACATTTGTTTCAAATTCACCCTATTGTAATAACCTGCTAACCACATCTGAGAGGCTGTAAATCAAGTCTTCAACGCATCAAATCAGCCAGTGTGACGTCCTTTGACATTATAGATGCTATAACAAGCTCAAGGATTAATGTTGGGTTAGTTCTTAACTCAAAGACAAAGCAGAAGTGGTCAAACAAACTGCGAAAATCTATGTGCGTTCAAAACTGGTGGGAGGAGAAATACAGTTCAGCAACATTGATATCGGCAAAGTTACTCAGTCTCTAATATTTCCAATTCTCACTGGTCAGATCCAGTGAGTTAGAAGCTAGAAAATCATTCAGCATATATTGTGTTGCGAGATGACTGAGAGAGAGGGAGAGTGAGAGAGGGGGAGAGAGAGAGAGCCCTTTAACAACCAGCTCTTTCATAACTTCCCACATGTGCCTGGCAGACTGCTCTCCCACCCCACCCTCGCACCTCGCCCCCCTCATCCCCACGCGCACACACACCAACCCCATCACGCTTTAAGGCAGATCAGTAACCTTCTCAAGTCGGTGGACCTGCATGAGTTTAACTGGAAAAAATGTTGGCGATGAGAATCATTTCCACATGGACTGACCTTTGCAGAGTTTCCACTAAACGAGCCAGGTTTAGCAGAGCAGCACTCGATAACGGTCACCCTCTCCCTCTACTACTACTAATAATAATCATCATAATAATAATCCTTGCATTCGACATGGCGCCTCATCACGTAGTTGAGATCATCTCAAAGCGCTTCACAGGATTGACGGTGTGAAGTGGATTGACCGTGTGTTTTGTGGGTGAAACGTAGCAGCCAATTGCGCCCAGCAGTTCACCTCTTCCTTTCCCTTGTCCAGCTCTGAATCCAAAGTCCCTCAGAGAAGAAATACAAAGAGTATTTCTTAAGAGCCGTATATGCCTGCAATACCAAACTCTGGACAAGGAAGCAGCTTTATATTGAAAAAAAACAGACAAGTGGCTGCTTTACGCAATGAAAACATCATAAGATCATCAATAAGACCCCCAAACCTCTCGAGACATTTACTCCGCATGTTCTTGAGCTCCTGTGGTCATAAAACCATGGGAGACGCGCTGTGTAAAAGGTACCGGAATCAAACCTCAGGATAAATTCATTCCGTAATGTCAGGAGCAACTGGAAAAAATGCACGGATGATGCCAAGATTCACAGTCAAATAAATGATTGAACAAAACCCTTCTGACAGACCTCCCCCCCCACCCCGAAGCTGAAAGTCATAAAAACATTTTTGTTATCTCTGAACGCTCAAATTATTGGCATAACCGCTGGAGAATGAATAACACCAATAATAAAACCCTTGGATTTGCACTTGCTAATGCCCCTCAAACTGCTTCACAAGTTACGGTGAAGTGCAGTGACTGCGTATCTGTAGGCAAACACGGCAGCCAATTTACACGGACCGATGGGAAACCCTATTAATCGCTGACATCCGAGGGCGATGTGCACAGAGCTGAATGGAATTTCCCTGAGTTACACGTGAGAATACCGAGACAACATCTTCCCCCCACCCCCCCACCATTCACCCCTCCTCCCCCACAATAAGGTTTGGGGGGGAAAAGCACAACAGGGCAGGTTTTGCGTGGTCTTTGGAAAGGGTGAGCGTGATGGACCACATGGCCTTTTCTCCCTTCAGTGATTTCCTTTTGATCTTAACACTTCACAGCGACTGAGCCACATAGAGATGTCGTAAACGTTCGCTGAGCAGCTCGCTCTGAAAGTAGGTAACATCTGCACCAGCCAAACTGTACATTGTGGGCAAACTGTAACCTTTTCACAATAATACGCGCGTCAGTGAGCGAATTCACCTTCAACACATGCCTTCCAGATTTCGCCAGTAATGTGTAAAAGGTGGATATTAAAATTATTTGCAGCAATGATCCCCCGTTGATTTAAGAATAACCTTATGGCTGAGAGACCAAAATAATATCACCAGCGGGAAGCTAACAGATCAGTCCTACAAGTCAAGTTTTATGGCTCCTGCTACCAATAATCTTCCCATTAAAACCTGAGATTAAAGAAATGCTTATTTTCATCTTAAACCGACCTTTCCAGATCTAAAACACCTTTTGGGATTGGGTCAGAAATTCGGCCATAAGTTTTGAAAAGTGACAGAGAAATTGTTTTCTCTTAGGAAACGTGAATCTGTGCGTTTCTCGAATTCCGAATTCCTGGGTTATAAATAACATGGATCCCTCAAATCACTTCCTTTATAACGTTCGTTTGATTGAAGTCTGTACAGCCGTTGTGGTTTCAAGGACTTGAGCTCACAGTCTAGGCTGATGCTCCAACATTACTGAGGGGAGGGTGGGAGAGGAGTACTGAAATATCAGAGGTGCTTTTCTTCGGAAGAGATGTTAAATCGAGGTCCCATTTTGCCCATTCAGGTGGATGTTGGAGAACAATCAATTGACTTTACATTATATCCTGTGAAGAGCATTGCGACGTCTCGAAGACATGATAAGGCGGTATATCAATTGCAAGGATTATTATTATTATTATCCTGACAGTAGAGCGGTTACTAGGAATGATGAGATGAAAGTGAGCCTTCTTTATTCCAAACCAATCTCAGGATCACCTCTGATCACATGTGCCTTCCCGCATCCCAAATAGGTTGAGAACATCACAGACCACATTAGAGCCTCTTTAGTTGCACCGCTCTCCTCCTTTTCCTATTTAGTCTATGTTTTTGTCTAAGGTAACTTTTATTTTTGCTTTCCCAATATTAACAAGTCATTTTAAAAAAAATCACATACACACACTCTAGGATTAAATCTAAACGCCACAATTTATTATCCTATTCGGGCCTTTTCGCTGTGAGTTTGCCTTTGATGTGGATTCACAAGGTTCCCTGCACCTTCTCATTTAATTGAAACCCTTAACTCTGATCCTTGTAAAAAGGTGGTGGGGGTTGGGGAGAGAAGTGGTCTAAAAAGGGCTTATGAATGCCATTAGTTAGTGGGTTGTTGCAAAATTGCCAGAATGGCAAACAACAGCATGGAAGCTGTAATTTTCTCCCAAAGATCAATCAGTTCTGAATATGTCCTCGGGTGGTGAGGTGGGGTGTGCGCGGAGGGACAGAAACCTCGTATCTAGGTCAGTATCTCATGGTTTTGAGCTGAGAATTAGACACAAAAACGGCAAACGTTGCCTTATCAAACCGGGGGCACTTGAGGCACAATGATAATCAGAATCACCCAGAACGTACCTAGTCAGTGAGACGCGATAATTTCACCCATATCTGGTTTCACTAAAAGAAAACGAGAGGATTAATTCTTGCTGCAAAAAAAGGGGGCCTTAATGACAGGTTCATAAAAACAGCTTGAAACGTCCGCTAGAGCGCTTGCTTAATTGCGAGGCCTCATTTATAATGAGAACAGGGCAAAGGAGTTGCTGGAGAAATATAGTTTTTTTTCAAAAAAAAAACAACAAATACACACACACACGCGCGCGCGCGCGATGCCCTTCACAAACTGGCTGCATATTTCTGCGGTGTGAAGTTAGCATAAGGAAGGCTTGAAAGGACCCTTGTGTGTGTGTGCGCGTGTTTTAACTGGAGCTCGTCCAGCAGTCAAAAACCTATTGATTCACTGTCAACCGGTTTGTGAGGTCACTTGCAAAGTGCTAGTTTTCTTTTCAAAAGTTTTTTTTCCCCCCAACAGAATCACCTGGATTGAGCCACCAAGGATACAGGAGATCTCTTTCTCTCTCTCTCCCTCTCTCTCTCTCTCTCTGGGAACTGAGGTTGGTACCAGTATGATTGGAACGTTAAGATATTTTTGATGTGCGCTGTTATAATTCTCTCCCCACATCCCGCTCCCTATTCCACAGGAGGAACTCCCGCCCCCCACCTCCTCCGCACCCCACCCCACATCGAACGACCGAACCGCTAGTACTTTATGCAGGACGTTTGTTAAGCGCAGTTCCAGCAAGTTCCAGTTTCAAGCAATAAGCTGATGGCAGTCGAAGATCTTTTGTGCGCAGGCTCCACGAGGCGTGATGTGGGCTTTATCGACGCTTTGAAATTGGACTGTAAAACGTGGGCACGGAAATGATTCACCATCAAGGAATCGCTGCCTAAATTCACGTGGAATACCTAAAGTTTAGCAGAAAATCCCACGCGGTTGCCATTTGGGTCATTTGGAGCAGTACGTGCACGAGACGTCTCAACGACGTGATAAGGCGTTCTATCAAATGCAAGGATTATTATTGTTATTAATAGTATTAATATTAATTAATATTATTAATATTAATATATGGGTGGTATGCATCTCAAATCGGGTCGAACCTTCTCCTTAGGAGGAATAGTTGCCATCAGCAGAGACAAAACCATTCTTGGCTTCATAATTTGGGACAGGGAACCTCACAAGATGAATCTTATAAGAGCAATTTTTATTAATGTACAAGTTCCAATGTTTTCATGAGAATTCTTACATTAGATTGGGATTTTTATTTCATTTAAAAAACAAAAGATATTTCGACACAGAAATCCTTAGCCTCCTTTTTTTTTCTTTTCGGACTGATTTTTTTTTGTGGGGTGGTGGGGGTGGAGTGGGGGGGGGGGGGGGGCGGAATATTTGACCGGATTCCTGGCTTCAAATTTTACCTTTATAAAAAATATTCCGAAAGTAGGTAATGTGGAAAAAGTAAAGTAAAAAAGTAAATGTTTTCGCTTCCCTTCCAATCCTCAAAGAGGACTCTATTCACGAGTTTCGTCTGTTTTTTTAAAAAAAAACGAATGAATCGCTACGATTTAGAAAACGTACACTTTTGGAAATTGTTTAACTTTTTTTTAAAAAAAGCGAAAAAGAGCCAAAGCACATGTGGGAATAGCAGCCAACTTCGCTAACTACTTTTAGAACAAGTTATTTCACTGTTGAGTCCCTTTTGGCACAGACAGACAAGAGTTTGGAAAAACACCAACATTTTATATATAACCTGTCGTGGAAACCCAACACGTCTATAGGTTGTGTTTTTTAAGGTCAATGTTCCATTGCAGGAATAATCCTATTGGAAAAGATCAAGGCATCAGAGTAAAGCCATAGCAATCCTTGCATTTGATACAGAGTCTATGACATCGAGAATGTCTCAAGGCGCTTTACAAGCTTTGCCCTGTCAAGTGTAGTGACTGTGTGTTGGTGGTAGATTTATGAATGGGCGAGTCCTTTGGATCAAACGTAAAACCAATAACCCTCGAGGTGAAAAACAAATTGTCTGCCTAAGAAATAGGCATCGCGTGCACTTTGTAGTAAGCCTTGTGAAGCGCTCCGAGATTTTGATATCGTTATACGGCGATGTGCGATAAGGCACTATATCTAATGCAAGGATTATTGCTATTAATTATTAGTGTTAGTATTAGTAACAATATTCCGTTCAGCGGAAAGTGACCGGGTCGTTAGGATCTGCAATAAGGTCAATTGGAGAGATCAAGAGCAGACTTGATTGACCAAATGGCCTTTTCTCACTTCGCATTTCCTTTTGCCGTTATTTGTACATTGCGTGTAAGATTAATCCGTACATTTGATATAACGCCTTATTATGTCTTCGAGACGTCTCAAAGTAATGCCCTGAGATTGTAACAATGGTGTTTGTTCACAAAGTCTCTCTTCTTTATGGTAAAAATGAGGTGAAGCGCTTTGGGACTGACGAGTAAACATTATTCAAAACGTAAGGATTATTATTGTAATAATATGACACATAATTATTATTGATTTCCGATCGCTCGCAGGATGAAGCTCACTCACCTGCTGGTGTTTGCGGCGCTTTTCCCTGGCGGATTGTGCCAGTACGGCTACGAATACTTCACCTGGCTCGCGCACATCATGGGCTATTCCCGATCGGTCAGGAACGAACAGGTCGAGGCTCCTCCCAAGCAGCCGATGACATCCGACTGTCCCGCCAAGTGCACCTGCCCTCCCATCTTCCCCACCGCCATGTACTGCGACACACGCAAACTGAAGCACATACCAGTCGTGCCGGCCCGCATGCGGTATGTCTACCTGCAGAACAACCAGATCGAGGCTGTTCCCGAGGGAGTGTTCGACAACGCCACCAGCCTGATCTGGGTTGTCCTGCATCGCAATAAGATCTCGAGCGAGAAGATAGGCAAAGGAGTCTTCTCCAAGCTGAAGAACCTGAAGCGCCTGTACTTGGATCACAACAGGCTGACCAAAATATCCTTCCCGTTGCCGAGTTCGCTGAAGCAACTGAGGCTCACTTCAAACAAGATCTCGAAGATCCAACCGGACCTGTTCCAGGGACTGAAGAACCTGACCATGCTTCTGCTCAACGACAACCAACTGCAAGACGTCGGAGGAAGCTTCGAGGAGCTGACGTCTCTGGGTCTCCTGGATCTCAGCAACAACCAACTGACAAAGCTGCCCGCTGGACTCCCGGAGTCTCTGCACCAGGTCTACCTGGACTTCAATCACATCAGCTCCATTCCCGAGGAGTATTTCCAGAAGCTCCCCAAACTGCAGTATGCCAGGATCTCGAACAACCACCTGACAGATAACGGGATCCCGCAGAACACATTCAACGTCTCCAACCTGATCGAGTTGGACCTCTCCCACAATAAGCTGCAGACCATTCCCCCCGTCAGCACCAACCTGGAGAACCTGTACCTTAACGCCAACAGGATCAGAGGTGAGAGCCTCACCTCATCTATCATTTAACAACAACCGCATCTTGTGTTTATATAGCGCCAATTAAGGGACTTGGCGTTAAGAATTTTCCCCAAGTCTACTCCAACTTCCATTAGAAGACAGAATAATCTTCCGGTACCTACGGAATATCAGGCGGTTTCGTAAAACGTAACTCACTCCAGCATTCACATGGTTTTAGGAGCTGTTAGAGCAAGGGGAACTCCACATAACGATATTCATATAATAATAATAATAATAATAATAATAATAATCCTTGCATTTGATATAGTGCCTAAAACATAAATTCGCCTCAAAGAGCTCGACAGGTAATTGTGTATTTTACGGCACGCCAAACATCCCACAAATAGCCAAGCAAATGACCATTTTTTTTAACAACTGGGGGATTGTCAGCCAGGACACCAGGAGAGGGAAACGCCCTTCTCTATACCAGTGTTGCTATGGGATCTTTACTTGGGAGACCTGAACAGGCAGACGGGACTTTGGTTTGACGTCTCATCCGAACGACAGCACCTCAGGTGTTGTGGCTTGTCGTATGCGCAGATGCCAGGCCGCAGGTCTCAAACGTCACCAGGGTTGAAGTGTTCCTTTGTCTGGGTATCCATTTCCTCTCTCGTCTGCTCTCATTTAGGCCTTAAATACAACAATGGCCCCCAGTGAACGTTGCCCCAACCATCATGAGGTGATTGGTATACTCAGCTCATGTGCCCTTTTCTCTTAACTCATTAGGTACAAAATCCCAGATGCAGGTTTCCCCCCCATCACTGTACTGGAGCGTCAGCCTAGACTGTCAACCTCAAGGTCGCCGCACTGGGGCTCGAACCCATAACCTACTGACCCAGAGACAAGCCAGTTACCAACTGAGCCAAACTGAGGACAATGTAACATAATGTCTGCCACACGCCACTCTCAGTCGCCACTCTTATACCCCAATCGGTTTTGCTTTACTTTTCACACTATTTGTGCCCTAATGTCACTTGCTCTCAGTCCGATACCCCACTATCGGTGATCAGGCCTTCAGCCTCTCCGCACCCCCCCCCCCCCACCCCCACCCCCCCCCACCCCCTGGAACTCCATTTCACAGGCCTTCATCCCATCGCCTCACACCCCCCCGCCCACTCCCTCCCCTCCCTCCCTCGCCTCCTTCAAAGCCCGTCTCAAGACCTTCATCTTCGACCGTGTCTTCGGTCAACCTCTCAACCCCCACCCTCCCTGCCCTCCACCCCCTCCTGATCCCTACCCCCAGCTCGGGTGCAAATCCAGCACTTTGGGACGTGCTCCCGACGTGAATGGCACTGCGTCAATGTCATTTGCTGTCGTGGTGGTGGTTGACTTTAACCAAAATCGGACAGAGCAAAAGGGAATCGATTGAGAGGCAAAACAAAAGTTTGGGATTTTAACGTCAACCTGGGAAAGGTCCCAAAAGTGAGGATCAGCGTTAAAAATAGATTTTCATATTCTAAATAGTTTAAGAAAGGACTTGGCCTCAGCTCTTTGGTTTAGAATAACTCGCTCTCTCTTCCAACAGTGTTGGCAAACGTCAGAATTGAAAGCAAAACAAAAAAATGTCGTCAAAACTGAATTTACGAGTGCAAACGAGATCAAACTTGAGATTGAGATTGAGATTCCCGGATTATATGGATTTCTTCGGCTCTTTAGCGAAACGATGAGCGTTTGGTCAGTTTGTGCCTCTCTGACCGCACGTGCGTCCAGTGGCTTCAACTTTGCCGTGGAGTCCTGTGGCTCAGTGGTCACAGGGCGCTCGGCTCGCAAGCGAGCAGGACCTGGGTTCGAATCCCGGGCGGTGGGACGCTTTCTTAAATTTCTTACCCCGCGCTCCTCTGTTTAGCTTGCAGGAAGTAGGTTGTTAGTCAATTGGCGGATCGCTTTTCCAGGGGTAATAATCCTGCTTACGGTCAACTTCCCCCCACCCTTCCCCACCCCCGACTCGGTGTCGTGCTCCGCCACTGACCGGCGCTTTGGGCCGCTATCCCTGCGTGAGGGGGCGCTGTGCAAATGCAAGTTGTTGCCGTAGTTCCTTGCCTTCCGACTGTGTAGCCCCTTGACTCTCCCGGCCTTGTGTTTTGCAGAGTTCACTGTGGACAGTTTCTGCAAGAACACGGGCATAATGAACTTCTCCAAGATTCAGGTTCTTCGCCTCGACGGCAACGCCATCAAACAAGACGAGTTACCGCCCAACGCACATCAGTGCCTGCGCCAAGCCAGGATCATAGACATTTAGCCCATGTTCACCCCACGCGTGTCAATCAGTAAACCTCCCTGTGTCACTGTGTCCTTCATGGCTTGTCTCAAGACCCGCCTCATCGACCGCGCCTTCGGTTACCCTCCTACCCCACCCCCTCCCTGCCCTCCACCCCCTCCTGAACCCAACCCCCGGCTCGGGTCCAAATCCCTGACTGTCCAGGGCTTTGGGAAGTCCTCCCGACGTGAAAGGTGCTGCGTAAATGTCATTTGTTGTTGTTGTTGTTACAGTAAACCGTAGAGACTGTCTGCCTTACGTTGATCTAATCATTCCTCGCATTTGATACAGCGGCTTATCGTATCGGAGCGTCTCAAAGCACTTCGCGGAGTTCCTCTGCCAAGTGTAGTGACTGTGTTTTCGCAGGTTGGACAAAGCAGCCCATTTGCGCTCAGCAACCTCCCACAAACAACCATGAAGTGAATCCATTCCGACAATCTATCTCTGGGCTTTCCACGTTGTAGGTGGGGGAGGTGTGGAATTCTCGATCCGTTTTGGAGACTCTTAAGCAACGGTGATGAGTTTCCGTGTGTGTCAGACACCCGGCTGAACCCCCACCCACCCCCCCCCACCCCAAAATACAAAGCGAATGATCAATTTGATCTGATTGTTGGCAGACGGAAGGCAAGTTTAGCGTTCAGTCCAGAGGGTAGCTCAGCCATGAGCTGGTGATAGCATCTGGTATGTCGTAGGTCAATGTTTTCTTTTCTCCTGTGAATATTCAATCTTAATTCCGGATTTCCCTGTTCTTTTAAGAAACCGGCTTCAATTTTAAGACGGAATTTAAGGATCTGTCAAATTCTGCTTTCTCTGAACCGCTAAGAAAATAGGAGTAAATCTAGACCCAGTTAGGAATTACTTCCCTACTTTGCATGTAGTTCTTTGGATGTTACTTGAGGTGTGGACTCTAAAATAAACGGTATCTGTTCTATGATTCCTTTATCTCTCCCAGACATTAGAGCTGTGTATTGTCTTGTATGCGTTCTGTTGTTTCAATGTTTATTTCTCCCCTTCTCTTGAATATCGCTCACCGATCCATGACACCGTCTTATTAAAGAACAACTACTGACTAACGGAAATCTCGCTGACAAAGCCAAATGCAGGATAAGTCATAAGTCTTACATAAATCGTACCATGCAGTTGTGACCATACATTTGATGTGACTCACGCCAAGTATGAGTCATGTCAAACTTGCGTAGAATACTCTTGAACGGAACTTGGGCAGATTAGGCGATTGTACGATCGTAAGATCAGACTTAAGTGGGGTTTTACTGTACCTATCCCTGCCCCATACTTGCGACATGGCATTGACAAACACAGAGGGAAAATTGATGCGGTGTCATGTAAACCACGATATTCCCAAACCTGGAGGCTTTACGTTACATTTCAGGCTCCTCCCAGGGAATTCTGCCAACTCAGCCATGGGAACGGTTGGCACGGCGCCCGCCGACCCCGACTGTGATAATAAAAAANTAATTCTTGCATGGATTTGATTTGATACGAAGCCCGTAAATCCTTGAAACGTCTCCAACGCTTCACAGGGAAAACAGCTCTCAAAGTGCAGAGAATGTGCCTCCATAAGCAAACCCACAATTTGGTCAGTGAGAGCGCAGTGAGGTCCCGCAGACAACCACCAAGTCAGCGGTCAATCTGATCTGGAGGTGGGGGGGGATTGTCAGCCCGGGACACCAGGAGAGAGAGAGAGAGAGAGAGAGAGAGACAGAGAGAGAGACAGCCCCCACTCTCTTTTTCCAATAGGGGGCGGGAACTGATTTATAATATGCGCTGACGGTGTGTGGGACGCTGTGTGGTCTCGCTGGTATCAGAGCTCGTTCTGGTTTGGGTGTCTGCGCTCGTTTGGGGTCAGTGAAATCATCCGACAAAGACTCCAGTCGCCTACGTGGGGAGTGTGACGAGTTGACTCAACTCAGCACTGAAGGAGGTCATTTTGAGTGGATTTGACTTGAGCTGCAGCCAAACTATGTTGGGATCCTCAAGTCGTCAGCGTTACAAACGAACACAAGCGAGCGGGCTGTGTTGGACAATGGGAAACCATCGCCAGCATTTTTCTAGACTCTTCCCTTAACCGCCATCCCAATCCGATTCTGCCATCGAGAGAGTTGTCATGGCGCCCACCAAATCCAGCTCCAATAATATTAATATTAATAATAATCCTGGCATTTGATCCAACCCCCAGAAGCTGCCAGCAGCTCCCCCACTTCTCACGGACCGGCTGTTGGCTGTTGATGTGTGGTGACTGTGTGTTTGCACGAGGTAAACACCCCTACACACACACTCACACACACATCCACACACACACATACATCCACACATGCATCCACACACACACACATACACACACACACATACACACACACACACACAGGTACCCACACTTTCATCAAGCGAACATCCTTTGCCCTGGAGGATTGATGCCCGGTTCACGACTGCATTAGCTTGAGCTCAGGAGAGAAAAAAACACAGATGAGATGATACTTTCAAAATCTTCTCCAACACCATCTCCTCACACAACAACAACAACAACAACAACAACAAAAACAACTTGCATTCATACCGGGTGACCAAAAAGTCTTATTTTTCAAGCTACCCTATTATCTAAAAAAAAACATTCATCATTTCTTTAAGGATTATTCGACGTTGCAATGGTATCACAATGGTTTGGTCTCCCTGCGTAGAGCGCCCTTCAACGCAGAGAATGTCTCGGAGCGCTTCACAGAGTGTCTGCTCCGGGGTTGACGTTCGGAAGCCCACATTGCAAAGACTCAACAGCGCATCCCTTCGCTCCCCTTTTGAAACGAGACGACAGTGGGTTAACTCGTGATGGTCTGAAACCTTAGCTGGTTAGTTAGCTGTGCTCCCTGCGAATCCGGGGAACCAGGAAATCCTCAGCAGAAAAGAAAATCACTTAAGGATTAAATTCACAAGGAGTGGCTCCCTCTTTCAGCCTCTCCCCCGTATAACATCTCGATTACCAGCCTCAGGCCAGAAGAAGGAAACACAACCAGACAGTCTGCATTTCACGATCTGTTTACACACCGAGAGCGACGAATAATAAATTTGGTGTTTGACGCAGCATCTTTTGCGACGGGAGGACACCTCAAAGCGCCTTGGGACGTCCTCCCGACGTGAAAGGCGCTATACAAATGTTATTTGTTGTTGTATATCGTTAAGCGTGGTGACTGTGTGTTTTTGTAGGGCTGTTGTGTGGGTCCCATGGTTGCCTATGTGACACTGCGGAGTTTTTATTCCCCGCAAGAGGCAACTTCAGTTAAATCCTAACAACATCAGGAGGTTTTATAATAAGCCACTTCAGTCTTTCTGTCCCTTTCTCTCGCCCCAGCGACACTGGTCTACAATACAGCTCTCGCTTAATCGTGCTTCATGTGCGTCTTGTGAACATTAATTCCCGTTCAGATATTGCTTCAGGAAGGAAAATACACGCGGCTGGACATTTAACGGATAATCACCAGTTACGTGAAGTGTAAGAGGGCTTTCTGCGAGTCGTTTTAGTTTTCTTTTTAAACATAAATGTTTACTGTCGGGTTTTCAGAGAGACATTCATTTCCCTTCGGGTCGAAAACCATGCCAGAAACTTCATGTATGATCCACTGTGTATTGCACCTCTGTGAGCATTTGCCTCATTTTGAGTTGAAATTTGGGGGTTGAGAATAATAATAAATCCTTGCGTTTGACACGGAGCCTTATCACGTCTACGCGACGGCTCAAAGCGCTTCACTGGACACACAGTAAAGAGGATTTGGCTGTGTATTTGGGCCAAATGAACAGAAGGCGCAGATGGGGGTCTATAAAATATTTTCTAATATAATTAATTAATCCATTTTTGGCCGTTTACTAATCCAGGTTAATCCAACTCTTTTTATAATGCTGTAAAGGGGCTTAAAAAAAAGTGTTTTCATTTGCTCAACACCCCTCCCACTCCCCCCGAAAACATCTGGAAGTCAGATTAAGCATCAGGTGCCCTCTTGTGGTCCCATTGATACTGTGCTAAATAAAATGTCTGATTGACACGGTTGATATATACGTACGTATGGTCCTTGGAAATGTTCTCACGGCCAAAAGTGACGGTGAAACAATGTTATTTCAGGGCAGCTCTGAAAACAAGGACCAGTTATGCCTTTGAGTTATTTTCGGGTGTGATTCAAAGCTGTTTGTAGCCTCTGTTGCTCGATGGCAGGCGAACGAGAGAGAAAGCGAGAGTGAGAGAGACAGAGAGAGAGAGAAAGAGAGAGAAAGAACTCGCATTTGTGTACCGGCTAATCACGTGGAAAATGTCTCAAAGCGCTTCCGAGTAATTGCAGCCAGGTGTTGGTGACTGTTTTTATATATATATATATAGGCAAACGCAGCAGCCATTTTGCACCTGCAAGTTTCACAACAACAACAGCATTTATATGAACACCCCTCATGCAGGGCAGGGTCCCGGAGCGCTTAGACACGCTTGCATGAAGCGAGCGACCACTTAATCCAGTGGGTCAAAACGCTGGGAGAAACTCCTTTTCCAGTCTTCCAGTGGTGTCACGAGATCTTTAATGTCCACCCAGACAAGGAAATGGGGGGCTACGGTTTAATGTCTTACCCGAAAGATGGCATCTCTGACAAAGCAAAACTTTTTCCCCTGGTCTATCGGTCTAAACTGGGGTGGTCCAAACGGTAGCCCCCAGGCTGACTCCCCCTCTCCTCCACTCCATCTGGCCCACCCACTCCCTCTGTAACCCAGAAATCTTGTGTTATGTTTCTGGAAGGGAAACACAAAAATATTGCTTATGTGTCATGTGGAGTCCTGTAGCTCAGTGGTTAGAGCACTCGCTTTGCAAGCGAGAGACCTGAGTTCAATTCCAGGCAGAGGGCGAAACCTTGGGCAAGTTTCCTTACTCCACACAGAGCCTAATAATAATCCCTCCAAAAACCCCAAAACAATAATAAAATTGGTCATTTTCAATCTACGACTGTTTGTGGGACATTGCTGTGCGCAATTGGCTGCCGCGTTCGCCCACAAATATACAGTCAATTCACTTTACAGTATATTCTGTGAAGCGCTTTGGGACGTCC